TCGGAATCAGATGACAGAAACGATTCTGATGACAGGAACGGATTCTGATTCAGAATCCGTTTCTGTCTTAACATTTATACTTTTCAGTGATGGTTATCTCTGCCAAGGCCTTCATCCATCTGATCTCATCGGCTTCTGTTGCACGTTTGCGCCAAAATTCACTCAACAAATCCTCACTGAGATGCAAACGCATCAAATCTCGAGAAACAGCACCGAAGCTTTGGAAACTACAACACCAAAACCAACTACAACAAAGTCGCGAGCAAAGAACCCGATTTTTTTGAGTCAACACGAATCAGTTCACACTCTTAGAAATTCTATGGAGAATTCGGTGTTTGAGGAAGAGATTCCAATGAAAAGGATTATAGGTGATTAGAATTTTATTTAAATTTTAACTTTTTTAAGATCTACAAAAGGAAATCGATGCCGAGACGAGCAGGGAAACGAAACCATCGTTTCCAATAGTCAGTGCAACTGTGAGACCACAACATGTGCATCAGGTATCAAGTTTCCTAATGCCAGTGTTGTAGTATTTAAACTGTAAGTTCAAGTACAATTATTGGACTATTGGAAACGAAACCATCGTTTCCAATAGTCAGTGCAGCTTTGAGACCACAACATGTGCATCAGGTATAAAGTTTCCTAATGTCAATGTTGTAGTATTTAAACTGTAAGTTCAAGTACAATTTGTCAACAAAATTATGATCTTCAGTCAACTATAGGAATTCGGCTTTGAGATTTGAAAGCAATGCAACAGAAAACTGACCTTGAGACTTAATAAAACCTTAAAGTTAAAGCATTTTGCTTGTAACTAGGTTTCAATTTTCTTAACTATTTCAGCTAAAGGTATTCTTAACTATAATCTTTATAATCTAAACTATTTCAGCCCTTCAAATACCTTGAATGCCCCGGTGACTCTCTTCCCGTTTTCTATCCAGGCACCCAGCTTTTAATGGAATGTTCCCCGACAATTAATAGAGGATTCGAATGTCCAGGTAGGTTGAAAAAGTATTTTATTACTTTATTATTAAAGCCAGTGACTGATTTTTAAGTAAAACAGTTCTAAAGTAAAGTAAAAGTCTCGTCTTTGATAGCCTTTGATAGCAAAGACGCTGATAGCTCAGTGTTAGAGAATCTGCCGTTAAGCAAAAGGTCAAGGGTTCAATTCCCCCTCTTGCCATTCATTTCTTTACTTTATTATCTCATTCTTAATCTTTTCAGAAAATTCTGAATGTGTTTTGGCCCAAAACGATCTCTTTGGTCGCTCTGTGTGTTGTTCCCCTGCTGAAGTGCCAACAACTGAGCTCTATTTCGAGCGAACCACTCCATTGTCGAGAATTTTAATGCCAGACAGTGAAGAAAGCTTAGAATATGGAAGAAACACTTTTGGACAATATGGACAATTCGTTTATACAGTTACTTTAAAAGCTCCGGATGTGGATACAGAAAGGACTTTGGGTAAGTTGAAGTAAAATTGTGGTACTGAAGAGTTATGCATAATGACTAATGAGGAATTTTTAGTTTATTAAGTTTGCAAAAGAGTTTGTAACCTTTTCTTTGATCAAATCTCAATTTCTCTACAATTTTGTAGTTAAAACTTTGACTTTTGATGCCTGAAACGATTAAAAATCATATCCTAAATCATCCCTTTTTCTCTTTCAGATCCATTTTGTCCACGAATCGTTCGCAATCGAAAATGTTCTCCAGGCGGTCACGATGCTTGTCCTGAGTACAAATTCTATTGCCAATATAATATTCAATTTCGTGATTTTCGTTGTTGCTCTTTGGAATCAAATTATCGAAAATCTTGAGCCTTTTTTCTTTCATTTTTTCTCAGGGATATTACCGGTGCTTTTCTTTTATAAATGATGGTAATAAAATGATTCAACTAATTGAAAGTTAAAATAAAGGATGATTTCGAAACACTTTCATGTTAAATTTGAATTTCCGTCACAAATTTTAAATGTTAATTTTTGCGGGGCATTGCAATTGCTCTAGCCCTGAGCTATTTAGTACCTTGACTTGACAAGAGAAAGAAGGAAAGACAAAGGGTAGAGGCTTTCTGAGAGATAACAAAATGTTTTTCTACCTTTTCATGTTAAATTTGAATTTCCGTCACAAATCTTAAATGTTAATTTTTGCGGGACATCGCATTCCAATTGACGTCGCCGCCATTTGGAGGTAGTCGATGGGAGCCTCGTGTCGTCGTTTCTTTTTCATTTTCTTGAAAATCATTTTTTTTTGTGATGTTTTTTGTCAGATTAACTGAAATTATTGTTTTACGCGATAAATTTTCTTTTTTTAAATGAAATGCGCGACGTCGCATTCCAATTGACGTCGCCGCCATTTGAAGGTGGTCGATGGGAGCGTCGCGTCGTCGTCTCTTTTTCATTTTTTTGTTGTTGTCTTGTTTTTGTGAGATTGATTGAAATTATTGTTTTACACGATAAATTTTGTGTTTCTCTTTGAAATGAGAAAGAAATCTCTTTCCATGCGGAAATTCTCTTTTTTTTCTCTTTCCATGTGGGAGTCGAGTGGAGAATCCAGAACTTTTCGTAACCGGACCACAATGAAGGTCAAAACTAATTATAAGATGGTTTGGGGAATTGAATGGAAACAACGGAAACAAAATTCATTTCCGGGACCGTTACAAAACTCTAAAAAAGAAAAGAAATCTGAAAATTGATTTGCTAGACGGTTTGCTTTAGTTGAATTGATGAAATCAACTGCTCTGATTTTGATGATAGCTTTCTTAGATAACATTAGACATGGGCAGCGGGTCGGGTCGGGTCGGATCGGGTCGGGTCCGGTCGGGTCAAAAGTGGCCCGCTGACCCGACCCGGCCGCCAAAACTCGAAAATGGACATGTCTAGATAACATCTTTGTATTTCTACTTACTTAGAGTTTTAATTGAAAGCAATCATAACCAGTTCTTGATTTTTCTTGAGCAGTTCTTGAGCAGATTAGTGTCAGTTTGTACATTTTACCAAGCTCATTCAATTCAGGATTTATTTATGTGAATTGCAATAAGCGAATCAATTTTATAAGGATTTCCTCTATATTCAAATCTCCTAATCAAAACTTTACAGTGGTAATAAATAAAAGAAATCAAAAGGAATTAGCGGACAAAGGGAGAGAGGCCAAAAGTGAGAAAGAGAGGTGGTAAAGGAGGCTGTTGTGAGTGGGACTCACTCATTTTCTTTTCCCCTTCTTCCATTTTCCTCTCTTCATCAACCATTGATCGATTTTCGGTTCTCACAGATCTTTCCTCTCAGCTTTCACACTAATTCCATTAGCTAGACTATTGTTTTTACTTCTCCTGTTAATGAACATATTGAGATTGGTGCTACTGCTTTTATTTAACGGTAAGTACATTTCATTTTACCAATTTCATTCAATTCATTGATTTCAGGCTTTATTTGTATAAATTGTAACAAATATGCGAATCAACTTTATGAGGATTTACTTTATTTTTACAACAAAAACGTTCGACCAGTGAAAAACGCGACGCAACCGGTTTTGGTGAAATTCGGCGCCGCGCTCATTCGAATCATTGATGTGGTATGTTTGTTATGGAAAATCGAACATTCTTATCAAAGATCATCAATCTTTTGTTGCATCAGATTTTAATGGCTTGAGTTTTGGAAAGTTTTAAATCTTAAAAACAAGACTAAGCTTTGATTTTGTTTTTGTTTTTTTAAACTTCTTGGTCAGTGAAAGTTTATCTAGACTTTTCTACAGAAAAAGCAAAGTTTAATTCAATTAATCCTTTCTTTTCATTAACGCATTTCTTCTGACAAAAAGCGAAAGTCTCTCCGGGTGGTCGATCTTTGATACAACATTTGTAGTCCATTTGCAAATCAAAACAATCTTCTTCTTCTACACATTTTATTCGAAGTCTAGGTGGTGTAATAGTTGTCTCATTTGTCGTAGTTGTAGAATTGGAGGGTAGTGATGTTGTTGTATTTGGCGGTGAATGAGTAGTGGCATTTGAATCCATTGTAAGAGTTGTTGTAGCTGATGATGTTGTGCTATTTATAGTCTTTTTAAGAGTTTTGGTATTCGAAGGAAGCACTGATGTCGTTAAATGTGAGAGTATGGTTGGATTTGACGGTGAATGAGTAGTGGCATTTGTACTCATTGTAAGAGTTGTTATAGCTGATGATATTGTGCCATTTATAGTCATTTTGAGAGTTTTAGTATTCGAAAGAAGCACTGATGTCGTTAAATGTGAGAGTGTCGTTGGATTTGACGGTGAATGAGTAGTGGTTACATTTGAAGTACTATTAGATGTTGATAGTGTCATTGTTGTTGGAAAAGAGACCAAAATGGAGTTGGAATTAGATGCCTTCATTGTCGTTGTTGATAGTGTCACCTAATATCAAAACTATTTAAATATCATCATCTACAGCGTTCAGTATTTACGGCGACTTCTAGATTAGTGGATTAGCTCTCTAGTTCAACTTTACTGTTAAGTGTTATATAAGATATTGAAGCCCTTAATCTTGGCTACATTTATCTATTAAAAGTTTTCCGATTTAAGATCTATAACTCATTTTACAAGCCTTTGAATGAGTACTTCAATATTTCAATTCAGCTAACTTTAAAGAATACCTGAATTCAGATGAATTACTATTTCAATATTAATTCTTAAACTTTCCCTTGAACTATAAAACTGTCAACCTTTGGCAAATCCTATGCAAATCTTATTAAATCTTAAACTCACATTCTCTCCATTGACATCCAAAAATACAATCCACACAGCAGCTATCAAATATTTCATAGCTATATTTATCTAATTCGTTTCCGCCAAAATTTCCTGATCAGATATAAGAATTTTTTCAGTGGTTCGTTTAAAAATAATGGCATGCAGTTAATAGTTTATAGCATCAAAAAAGAGGAGTCGTTTTTTGATTGAGATGTAAAGGAAAGGAGAAATGAGTCAGAAAGAATGAATCGAAAAATTGCTCCCTTTCCATTTTTCCCGTCTTGAATATTTATTTCTGCCAATAAGCATATCGATTTCGGTAGCCGCCGCTTGAATGTCCCGCCATTTCACCTCGATTGTACTCATCATCACCTGTGCCAACTGAAAAAGAGGATTAGTTATGCTTAAGACTTAGAATTCAATAGTAGACGCTTTGATAGAAGAAGATTTTAGGCAGAAGATATCTAGAAGATATCTAGAGAAGAAGATTTTAAGCTTTATGTATGCTTTAGAACGTGTTAGAACTTGTTTTCTTAAAGTTTTATCTAAATATCTTTATAGTATTTGAATACGATCATAAAATAAAGCTAAGATTTCGGTTTAATACAACTTGTAAGTTTGCGTAAATAGCTAGAAGAAGATATAGAAGATGTAGCAGAAGATTTTAGGCAGAAGATATCTAGAAGAAGATAGAGAAGAAGATTTTAGGCAAAAGAGATCTAGAAGAAGCTATAGAAGATGTAGAAGAAGATTTTAGGCAAAAGAGATCTAGAAGAAGTTATAGAAGAAGATTTTAGGCAAAAGAGCTCTAGAAGAAGATATAGAAGAAGATTTTAAGCTTTATGTATGCTTTAGAACGTGTTAGAACTTGTTTTCTTAAAGTTTTATCTAAATGTCTTTATAGTATTTGAATACGATCATAAAATAAAGCTAAGATTTCGGTTTAATACAACTTGTAGGTTTGCGCAAATAGCTAGCAATCTTTAGATGCTAAACTAAAAGAATTGAAGGCACTTACCCGAATATCCAGCGTACAGATCCCGACCACCATCAGCTCCTGCATCAGAGACTTTTGGCTGTTTCATTTGTGGTGTGATGATGTGTGAGACACCACAATCACTTGGACAATACGAGGCGGGCATTCCCGGCTCTCCCGGTGGACCGTAGGCTCCTTCCTCTCCTTGTTTGCCCGCATTTCCAGCTGGCCCAGCACCACCAGGTTCTCCAGGGCTTCCTAAATGAGTGGAGATTGAGAAATCTTAGAGTTAGACTGTAATTGCTAGTGTGATTTTAAAGTTACCAGGATTTCCAGCCTCTTTCGCCGCTTTTCCAGTTGGTCCTTGTTTCCCCATAGGTCCTTGAGGTCCAGGTGGGCCTTTGGGTCCTTTATAACCGATTCCTGCAATAACCATCTTCCCCGGCTCGCCAGCAGCTCCTTCAAATCCTTTCTCTCCAGATTTTCCTGGGTTCCCGGGTTGCCCATGGGTTCCATGCATTCCTTGACGTCCCATCTCTCCTCGATCACCAGGCATTCCTGGGTAACCGGTCATTCCACGTTCACCTAAACATAAGAATAGTTTCGCTAAAGAATTTTTCAAGAATCCTTTCGAATATTCAGAGAGTTATTCTACCTTGTGATCCTCTTGGTCCTGGAGGTCCACCCGGGCAAATAGTGCAAGGCATTTCATCCTCTGGACTCAACTCTACATCCATTCCATCATCTCCTGCTTTTCCAGAGTTCCCAGGCATTCCCGGTTTTCCATCATCTCCTGATTCTCCTGCTGGTCCGGAGAGGCCTTGTGGACAAGTCAACTGGGTGCAACCCTGAAAAAAATTACTGACTTTCGCGAATGATAAAGATTCGTTTATACTCTTTTCCTTCTATTTTCAAATTAGCTTTAAATTTTACTCACTCGACAAACTCCAGCATCCCAAGCTGATCGTCTTTTTCTTGAGAAAAAGATCGGTAAACGGATTCCATTTGATTTAGCGGCTCCTTGTCCAAATGTCTGCATCTCTTCCCATAAACGATTTGTTTCATCCTATTCAAAAAACATTAAAAACAAAAAAGATTTAAAAAAACTAACCTTGTAAACTAAAGCTCTTGCTTCAATATTGTAGTAATCGCTCATCGATTGATTATAGATACTCGGAACAATTATTGCCAAGAAAAAAATGGAAAGAGTTGAAAGGAGACATGTTCCAATAGCTAATCGATGAAAAGTATCATAATCGGAACCCATTTTAAAATGTTATTGATTAGAAGAAGGGGAAATTAAGTAGCTAGTGAAAATGAGAGTTTTTCTTGAGCTGGCTGGCTTTTATAAGGTCAGAGCAACGGGTTTTTGCAAAAAAACGACTTTCTCTAAAAGGGAAAAATCCAGTTTTTGAACTGGGACATCTTTTGATAAAGAACAAAGGAAAAAGGACAAGATTAAGGAAAAAAAAGAAAAAGAACAAGATTAATTGTCGATCATTTAACAAGATTTAAAGATTGAGGTGAAATATGAAGCTCTAGGAAATGATTTGGGCTCAATATAGTGGCTATATTGACAAGCAGTGACTTGAGCTTGACAACTGACATCTTTTATTCAATAGATTTCAGGATGAAGTGAGTCAAGTGCTCACAACAAATCTCTGGCTTGAGCTACAATGGTTTGACTATCGATTATCGTGGGATCCATCGAAAATGGGAGGATTGAGAAAGTTGCATGTGCCATCCGATCAAATTTGGACACCTGATCTTGTGCTTTATAACAAGTAGAGTTGAAACTACACCAGGAATTCAGGAATTTCGAATTTCTTATGGCAAGACTAAGCTCAGAATTGAGATAAGCATTTAACTATGAAAACAAATGTTTCAGTGCTGATGGAGAGCCACAAATCACAATTGTCAGCGATGCTCTTGTCTACTTTAATGGATTGGTCATTTGGAAACCACCCAGTATCTACAAAAGTTTTTGTGAAGTAAACCAACGAAACAATTGATTCTTAAAATAATTCAAATTTTAGATAAACATCGAGTACTTCCCTTACGATAAACAAAGTGAATTTAAAAAGTGTTTTCTTTTTACGATTGTTTTTTAAGGTTGTAAGATGAAATTTGGTGGTTGGACATACACGGGAATGCAGATGGATGTGAGACAATTAGCGGTAAGGAATCGAATTTTACTGGGTGTGAGACAATTAACGGTAAAGAATCTAATTTTACTGGGTGTGAGACAATTAGCGGTAAGGAATCTAATTTTATTGGTGTGAGACAATTAGCGGTAAGGAAACAAATTTTACTGGATGTGAGACAATTATCGGTAAAGAATCTAATTTTACTGGGTGCGCTATAATTGTTGCAACAAGATAAAGTTCTGATTTTAATGCAGACACCAAAAAAAGGCAAATTGTCAACTGAATAACATTTATTATATATTAACAATTATAAATCGACTATCAAATTCGAATCGCATTAGCATTTGAGTAGGCTCGCAGATGTTTCGGAAAGGCGTCAACGGTGACGACCAAATAGGCTGGATCGAGCTCTTCCCCATGCTTTCAACAGTGATTTCTTCAAACTTTTGATTTTTCTGTGGAGTTTTTGAACAAGCTTTGACTTCTAGAACCGAAAAATCCATTGGGTTGAGGTCTGGAGAGCTAGGTAGCCACTCGAAAAAGTTCGGGAAGTTGTTTTGGCAGAACTCTTGGACTTGAAATTGTGCGCCACCTTGCTGATAAGTTCAAATGCGATTTCCAAAATATTTATAAGCCCAGAGCAAGAGTTCATCCCTGAGAAGAGCCAGGTACCTTGTTGCGACAATTATGGCGCACCCTGTACATAAAAACGTTTTGGTTTCATTAAAAACAATCAATTTCAGCCATATGATGGACAAATCTCAAGGATATTGACAGAAAAGAATGTACCGGGACATTATGTAGAGATTGGAATGGATTTATCATCATATTATCCGTAAGTCAAAAGAAAATCAATTCTCAATAATATTAACTCAACTGAAAGTACTTAAAAAACGGGGGTAGGCTAATTTTTTTTGCGCAACTGGGTCATTTGCGCAACTAGCCATAACTTTTTTCTAATTTGGCCAATCTTTAAGATTTTGGTGTCATTTTGTAGATCTCAATAAGTGCAACAAAATGAAACCAAAATAAGAAAGATTGGCCCGATTAGAAGAAAGTTAGGGCGAGTTGCGCAAACGATCCTGTTTGCGGAAATTAGCATGCCCCAAAAATCGTTTAAACGATAAGTTTTCAAGAAAAATTTGATACTATTCGATTATTATTCGAACGAATTACCCTAAAGTCGCGAGTATAAGTTCTGTTTAGTTTTCGCATGCAAATTGACGGCTGCCTCCGGTGCGGTGTGTCGAGGGTTCGAACCCTTAACTTAACGTTTAATTTTATATTTTACCAAGAAACTCAAAATTGGCAATTCTATAGAGCTTCAAATCTTTAAAACTCGTAAGCTTTCGGGACGCGGCTTCTTGTAATCAAATTTTCAACATAAATACCGTAAATATTCTACATAATAAAAGCACATCCTCTAGGAGCGTCGCGTAGTCTAAGTTTACACTAAAACAAACGCTCATATCTCGGCACCAATATGTTTGTTTCTGAGCGCTTGGATGTCAAATTAAAGTAGAGAGAATGGGCGATTTTTTGAGATATAACACTTATTTTTAGCATTAACAAGGGCTTAGAAAAAAATGAAGTGGCAAAAAAACTCACCTGAATGAAGCTCTTCCCAAAGCCAAAATCCTCAAAATCCTCGGAATCCCATTCGTCCCAATGCCACTGATCGCTTGCCAGGCCTAGATTTAATTGTAGATATCTTTTCAATCATTTCATTTTTTTCTAAGCGCTTGTTAATGCTAAAAATAAGTGTTATATCTCAAAAAATCACCCATTTTCTCTACTTTAATTTGATATCCAAGCGCGCAGAAACAAACATATTGGTGCCGAGATATGAGCGTTTGTTTTAGTGTAAACTTAGACTACGCGACGCTCCTAGAGGATGTGCTTTTATTAGAATATTTACGGTATTTATGTTGAAAATTTGATTACAAGAAGCCGCGTCCCGAAAGCTTACGAGTTTTAAAGATTTGAAGCTCTATAGAATTGCCAATTTTGAGTTTCTTGGTAAAATATAAAATTAAACTGTTAAAAATAAGCAGTAAATTCTATCAAAGTTTTCTGGGAAATGGTTAACTCTAGATGGAGTTATAAACTAGAGAAAAATGTGACCGCAATTCTTGAACACCATTTTGCACTCTACAGGGTGCGTCATAATTATTGCAACAAGAGTTCAAAGACCGTTTTCTAAACAGCTTTCTTATTTTTTTTGCCTCCTTTTTTGTTGTGTTGCGTTCTATCTTCTTTATTCTTGCCTAATTGCCTCCCGCTCACAAGAAGAAGACGGTTCAGGACTGGTGTGTGGCCAACTTTCCCTCAGTGATCACCAAGGATGAATGGCCTCCAAACTCACCGGATCTCAATGTGATGGACTTTTCCATTTGGGCAATTTTAGAGGCTAATGTCTGCTCTTTGACCTTGAAGAAGTCTTTGACCAAAGGATGGAAGGCGACTCCTCAAGGTGACATTCGGGCCGCAGTGGAGGCATATCCGAACCGATTAAGGGCTGTTATCAAGGCAAAACGCGGTCATATCGAATGATCTCTTGTTTCCTTATTTGTTACTGTTAAATAAAGCTATTTCTGTTTAAAAATCTTCTTCCAGTGAAACTTCTTGGTGTGCAATGCCTTGAGTATCTTGTTGCAATAATTATGACGCACCCTGTACAAAAGGATTTTCTCCAAAAAACGTATATACCGGATTCTCTCTAATAGTAGCGCACCCTGAGCATCGCCTAAATTCCTCGAAATCTCGAGAACTGCTTATCAGAACCTATCGATGTGGGGTTGGAAAATGTAGCTGACGATGAGCCTAAGCCTAAGCCTAAGCCTAAGCCTGAGCCTAAGCCTGAGCCTGAGCCTGGACCTGAGCTTAAGCCTGAGCCTGAGCCTAAGCCTGAGCCTAAGCCTGAGCCTAAGCCTGAGCCTGAGCCTGGACCTGAGCTTAAGCCTGAGCCTGAGCCTAAGCCTGAGCCTAAGCCTGAGCCTAAGCCTGAGCCTGAGCCTGGACCTGAACTTAAGCCTGAGCCTGAGCCTAAGCCTGAGCATCGCCTAAATTCTTCGAAATCTCAAGAACCGCTTATCAGAACCTATCGATGTGGGGTTGGAAAATGTAGCTGACGATGAGATCTAGTGGGGGATTTGAGTGTTGAGCTAATGCAAAAGCTTGGAAACCGTAAAATAATCACCAACTCGGCTTGCCGGGGTGCACTACTATTAGAGAAAATACGGTATTTAAAATCTACAAACATTTTTTCACTAGATTTATAAGTTTATGTAAAACTTTAAAAACTTTATTCGTTTTATATAAGATTTTAAACGTGATTGCTGCTGAAAAAATGAAATTTGTCAAAAATTATGTTAAGAGAGCCAAAATAACCTCACATTTGCAATAATGAAGCTTAAGAAGCACTAGTTTTATAGGAATTACGTATTAATTACGTATTAGAAAAAAAGAGGAAAGAGATTGGCGATTGCAGTGGTATGTTTTTTGTATTGGGTGTGAAAACTTAGAAATTGTTTCTTTCTGTTTATGAGTAAAATATTGTTTAGATTAATGGCTTGTCTTAGAAAGCTTTACTATATTAGGAAGCTAAAAAGATGCCTTAAACGCAGCACTATATCTGCCAGATTCTGTATTTCTGCAATTTCTAGAAGCGAAGAATGGGATTTGATGTCATTGAACTCAACTCGACACGTTGAACAATACCCGGGTTGTTGTGGATATGAGTCCTACATTGATGTGACTTTCGTCTTCGTCTTGAGAAGAAAAACTCTCTTCTACACGATCAATCTCGTTATTCCCAGCATGATGATTTGTAAGTCAAATGTATTGGGTTAATGAATTAAAAACTGCCGGACTTTGAACTAAAATTTATTCAACATAAAACCATGAATTCATTCGAAATAATTTCCATTATTATTGACGACTTCTGCCCATTTTACATGCAATTTGCGGATTCCTCTTTCGTAGTAGGATTTTCGTTTTGAATCGAAAAACTTTCAAAGCCAATTTTTGACTGCTTCTTCCGAATCGAAGAGTTTTCCCGCAAGCTCATTACTCATGGTCCGGAATAAATAGAAATCAAAAGGAGCGAGGTCCGGGCTGTATGGGGAATGCGCCAAAAGTCCCCAAACAAGGCTGTTTATTGTAGAGCGAGTCAGTTTTGCAACATGAGGGTGTGCGTTGTCGTGGCGGAAAACGATCTTTGACTTGGAGGGCCTATTCTTCTTCAGGGATTCATTCACCTTTCCCAACTGTTCACTGTATTTGATTGCATGAACGGTCGTCTTGCTATCCAGCAACTCTCAGTACAAGTGTGTGAGACAAGTGTGAGACTCAAAAATGGAGGACTGAAGATGTCCCAGTTTGAGCACTTTCTTCAAAAGAAACCCATTTTGGTGTTAATAGAAAAGTTGTAGAGAATCAAAAATTAAGCTTATATCCAAATTTCCAAAAAGATACACTTAGTAGTTTCGCTTAAAATGCAAGTTTTGTGAAAATTCGTAAATTTCGCATTTCTTGAAAACCAGTTTTTGAATCGTTCTGAAAATTTGGATATAAGCTTGATTTTTGATTCTCTACAACTTTTCCATTGACACCAAAATGGGTTTCTTTTGAAGAAAGTGCTCAAACTGTCACATATGACAATAGCCGACAGTTTTCAATTCACCAACCCAATAAATCAAAGTAAATCAACAACTCCAATGTAATACTTTTTATAATTCTATAACATAAAGTCAGGATCTTTCCTTTCCAGCCGTTTTGACCATTTTCTGTTTCTACATCCCGCCAATTGAGCACAAAATCAGCTTCACGATCTCGATTTTCGTCGCCTTGACTGTATACTATTTGGTGGGTGAAACAAATAACAACTTTGAGCTTTAGCTTAAAAAATCAGCTTCATTTTTTGATTTACTTATGTGCTGATTACTTTTGATTTATTTACTTTCAGGTTTTGAATGAGATCCTTCCACCAACCTCTCTCGTTGTCCCACTCATCGGTAAATACCTCCTCCTCACTCTATTTAATGTCGGATTTTCGATAAACTTCTCTGTCATCTCAATTAATTACTTTAGAAGGTAAATTTTTGAATTTTTACATTAATAATTCTTTTTGATAAATGAAATTTCTTCAGAGATGGTTCACAACATCCGATGCCACATTGGATGAAAGTTGTCTTCGTGAAAACGCTGCCAAAGTATTGCCAGTGTTAGAACGAACTTACTGTAAGCGTTTATTTTCAGATATCTCTGGATCCAGTCACCAAGCGAGGATGAACAAAGCGATGATGGAAGTTCGACAAGTGACATTCCACAAGGAATGTTCGATGGATCAAGACGACCATCGCCATACTTTTTGACGATACCACAAGGTAGTTCAAGAATCTTATAATGATCTTAATAATCTTAACATTCAGATGGTCAAATGCGGCTCTCGCAGTTAGCTCAATTACGAGGAATGCATCCAGATTTGATTCGACGAATGATCGACAATTTATCATTCATTTCTGATCACTTTAGAGCAAAGAAGAAAGAGGATCAAGTAATTTAGCTTTAGATATTAAAATAACCACAAATCTTACTATATAATTCCCAAATACTTGAAAGCTAATTAAAATTGACAAGCGAAGGTGAATTGGTTGAGCCAAATGATATGCGACGACCATTCGACCCAGATTTTTACGCTGATTCCGAATATGCATTCCGTTTTTGTCTACCAAGAGTTATAAATGTCTAAAGTTTTATTAAAAATCTGCAAATTGTACGTGCACAAAGAACACTAGTCTGGAAAAAAATCAAAAGAAATACCCAAAGTAGGGAGAACTTGTGAGATCTCGCTCTGAAAACCACTGTACGCTGTACCACTCAGCCACGGTTGCACTATATCCGGTCCGCAAGGAGATCGCGAAGACCCAAATTACCACATTTTCAAAGTCCTAACAAAACTTCAGACTTCTAGCAACTTCTAGCAGATTGTCATTTAGCAAAAACGGAATACATATTCGAAATCAGCATAAAATTCTGCGTCTAATGGTCGCATAGAATTTGGTCGGCTCAGCCAGTTGACCTTCCTTTGTGAGTCTAAGAATTGAATGCCTTAGATATCCACTTACAGGTGTCTGGTGATTGGGCTTATGTGGCCTTTGTAATGGATCGAATATTGCTCATCATCTACATTCTGTCAAATATTGGTGCAGGTCTTTTACTGCTCTGGGGCGCTGAAACGATTTTCGATACACGGGAGCCAATGGTAAAAACATATAATATCTGAAAGTCTAATTTTCGTGATGAAGCTAAATCTTTATCAATCTATACTTTAGCCCGTCACCCCTGGTCTTAAACCACTTTCTGGAGACACTTTCGAGTCAGTCTCCGAGAATTTCACACAAGATGTTTGGCTAGGAGATACGACAATTTATTATTAATTGATCCTTGTTTTATTTCTATTTTGTATAAAGTTTATTTTAAAGCAGTCACAACCATTAACTAGATCAACAGAGGCAACAGGATCAAATTTGAAATCACCAAAAATCGACGAGCAAAAAATGCTCAAGTCAACAATTGGAGACTTGTGAAAAGTGGCAAGTGAAATAGATAATAAATTAGAGAACAATAACGGTTCTCTAATTTTTTAGAGATTTCTAATCTTTCTTCATCTCTAATCTTTCTTCATTCTCGTGGTGGTCATTCGGTAGATGATCGAATCTCTGCCTGGATCCATATTCCAAATTCCGACTGCGATGTAAAGCACGGCAACTGAGAGAATGATGCCAAGACCTGGTATGAAAAGAATTTTCATTGTTTAACATCTTGAAAGTTTTGACTTTTAGTTAACGTTTAGAGTCATAGCAATAACTAGGGTATCCCAAAAATTCCCGTACAAAGTTTTACTCATAAGTCAAGATAGACGCAATCAATTCGGTTCAAATTTTTACCAGATAATTTAACATAGCTTAGCATTATTTGGTCCAAATTTCCAAGTCATAGCTTCAAAGCTGGCATTTATCTGAAAGTTGTAACTAAAGAGTCTTGTTCTTTCTTGTAACTAAAGCCTAAAACTCTTTGTACAGAAAATTTTAGGAAACCTTGTAGAACTGGTAACTGAAATAGATCCAAACATTAAATACCTGTAAAGTACCGCAAAATAAAATCAATATCGATGCACTAGTAAAGTCTGCGGTAAACTTCTTACAATTAGATTTTTAATGCATTATAACGTCTAGAATCTTAGAAATGATAGAAGAGTTTGGTCTAAACTTGCTACACTCTTGATTTAAGTTCTACTTTTCAAAAAATTCTAAATCACACAATCAATTTTGTTTTATAAAAGTCTTAATCACTAGGTTTTGTCGCTGGTTTACTTGTCTGTTTTGCAATCTTTTAACTAACTCACCCAAGAAAATGGCGAACATGGCTGGGTAATCAGATCCAGTGAACTCGGTCACATTGTAACGCTCGCGCTCGACTTGAACAGGCGATTTCCCAGTTTCATCAGCCTATAAGATTAGATTAAGAAATTCCTAAATTTTGGATTCTTTATTAAAATCCTACCGCTCTCTTCACGATTCGGTGTGCTTGAGCGGTGTTTTTGATTTGGATCGGCGACGAGTCACAGACAACCTCGACAACGGCTTGATCTCCATAAGCCTAAAGTTTAATGACTAAAGTTTAATTGATTTAAGTATTTTACCTCAACGATCGCTTGACTCAATGTATTGACGGCTTTTTGGATCTCGAGAATTGCTTGGTTTCGCTCGTCGCTATCCACTAATTTGATAAGTCCGCTGATCGTCACTTGGAAGACATCGGGAGAATTTGACTATAAGCAAAACATTGGAAAAGCTTTTGAGATTGATCTTTATATTTTATAGATCTTGTCGAATAACGATACTAGATTTATCTAGATTCATAGCTTCTTGTACCTGGGTTAATTTCGCTCCTTGTGCTTTCAAGCCAGCGACAAGCTTATAGACTTGAAGAAGCTCCGATCGAAGAGGCTCCGATTTTGTTTTCACCAAAGAATCATCAACGGAAGCTGAAGAAATAGCCGCCGAAAGTTGTGATCCACTGGCTCCATCCTAGAAATGTTTCTAATTGATTTCTCTAAAATTTCGTTACCTTGTTCACTGTGACGTACTCACGATCGGCTCCAAAAGCTACCGACAATGAGCTGTCCAAAGCACCAAAATCGTAGCCATCCTAAAGTTTTATTTAAAGAAGTTTCTAAACTTTTTTAAAACAAACCACATCAAGAGAGTACTTGTTGCCCTTAATATCGAGAATATCAATATCTTGGATTTGGACAACAGCCACAGCTTTAGTCGGGGAGAAGAGTTGAGTCTTCACGAGGAAAGAAGACACTTGCTGAAAAAAAAACAATAGCTTAACTTAATAATAATAAGATATCAAGATCATCAGATCTGTCAACGTTTAAAAAAAAGATTGTTAACAAGAAGAAACTGATTGATTTGTTTTAACGCCAAAAATATTCGTCAAAACTTTTAAATAATCAAAATCACTGACCAAGTTTGGCTTAAATTAGGATTCAATAGCTAAAAATAAGTACCTTTGTCGAAACACCAAGCAGCAATTCATTGAGAGTTGATATGTCTGAGGTGCGGAGGTTGGACGACTCTTGTGGCAGCACAATCGATCGAGGAACGGCCGCGAATTGTAGAGTCGATGCGGAGACTCCAGATATCAACAATACCCCGATCAACCACTTCATTTCTAGAATTTTATATAAATTAGCTGAAATTGCATGAAAAAGTATGAAATTGTACAAAAAAAATTATCACAGTTAGTAAAGTAAAACAAGAAAACCGGTAAATGCACAAAATGGCAAAACTGAAGGAAAGTGGAGTGGCTGAGATGGAATAGAACAGATCAAAGTGTGTTAAAGTGAATAACATATTGAATTAGTGAAATAATATTCTATTAAATGCATAAATATTAAGAGATTAGATATTGTGCAATCAAAAAACATTTAGGGAATATGAACAGCTCGTGGAAATCATCGTGATACAACAAAATGTTAGTATTATAGTTTAAAATTCTGCTTCTTGTAACAATTTTAGCTAGAATACGTCTTTTAAAAGTTGAATAATTTAAAAAATATTGTAATCTTTTCTTTAGATTTTATCCATAAACAACAAAAAAAACTTTTGAAGGAAAAAGCAAAAGAATTGCCGGCGAGTCGAACCTATGACTGGGGCGGGGGCGAGAGGAGTGAGAGACGTTAACCACTCGGCGACTATTAGGTTGATGCAAAAGTCTTTTTCATTTTTTTCGTACTTCCGTTAAAAAGTAACAAATGCACCAATTGAACAACAGTTTATTGCATTCGAAAGGCCAATTATTTTTCTGCAAAATGACATTAAAACGAGTTTAAAATGTCTTATGTCTAGATTTTTTTGAGAGCCTGAAGTCGGGTAGTCAAAAAAGGCGACGGCTCGATGATGCATTTTAGACGCTTTAGCTAAGGAAACCAATCTTGATGTTAATAAATAAAAGATAGAGCACAAAAAGTTAAATATTTTTTCAGATTTTCAGAGAAATTGATTCAGCCAATTTCTTTATAGAGGTTTTTATAGATTTTTATGAAAAACCCGTTTTCACTCTCGAATTTACTTGAAAGTGAACCCAAATTGATTTAAAAAGATGTGGGAAATTGAACAATAAACACTTTTCATTTAGAGCAAACCATAGGTTAATTGATGACTTTGTTATTTTTCAAAAGAAGTACGAAAAAAATGAAAAAGACTTTTGCATCAACCTAATAGATAGCGCAGTGCGAGCGTACTTGTCTCTAGCCCACACGACGCGGGTTCGACTCCCGTTCGTGTCAATAGTTTTGGTTTTGCCGGCGAGAGAAGTCGAACCTATGACCGGGGCGGGTGCGAGAGGAGTGAGAGACGTGCGTGTTAACCACTCGGCGACTAGATAGCGCAGTGCGAGCGTACTTGTCTCTAGCCCGCACGACGCGGGTTCGACTCCCGTTCGTGTCAATAGTTTTGATTTTTTAATGATTTAAAAACATTTTGCACAATTAGATGGAATTCTAAGTCAAACTAACTATAAGTTATTTGAAACGGTCCATTGGGAGCAGAGAAGTAGACACAAACAGACAGAAACAGTTCTTTTATCTAATAGATAATCAATTTTGATATCCTTTTGATGATGAATCAAACTGTGAATCAAATGATATCAAAATTAAGAGGATTACAAAGATTACGGTAGTTTTTTTTTTAATTATCCATGTTTTAAAAACGTTTTTGAAGAAGAAGAAGCAGCATTTTCAAGATAAAGATTAGTTAAAAAAAGTGTTTTTGACAAACTTTCATGCAAACGTAATCCAGTTAAAGTGATTTTTGCAATTTGCATTTAAAAAAATGATTTAGATGCAAATATAGATTCATTTAAAAGTCACAAGTACTTCCATCAATGACTTCACAGATCCTCATGCAATTTCCTCCCAGCTTCAAACAGTGACGATCTCTCCAACAATAGATTCTGTGCCAACATCTCTTTCAACGCCAATTTCCCGTCCTCATTCAAATCCACTTGCCAAATCAACTCTGATACCTCTCTTTGATGCCTTCCTTCTCCTTGTGGATCGACATATCCAATCAATTCCTCCAGTGTTGCAAATCCATCCCCATTTTGATCTAAATCTCGATCAAATTCAACTCCCCTCGCCTCTTGTTCTTTCTTCTCTTCTTCAGCAAATGGTCCATCCAATTCCCCCTCTGAATACTCAACAAATTCACTTCTTGAAATCATTCGGTTCCCGTCACGATCGTATCCTTTCAATAAATCCTCCGCTAGTTCTTCTACTGTTCGTTTTGCTAACTCTGGATGTAAAAACCCGGTGAACTCTGTGAGATTCAACGACTTTGTCTTATCGTCATCCATTGCTTCAAATGATTCTCGCAAAGAATCGTGATCAGTTTCAATCACGAATCTTTTACTATACTCTTCCCATGTTACTTGTTGATTGTGATCGAAATCGGTTTCCCTGAATAACTCCTCGACTTCCCGTTTGCTTTCCTCGATGTGCATCATAGCATTCTTGTGAATCACCTTTTCTAATTCATCTGAGGAAAGGAAACCGTCTTTGTCGAGATCAGCTTCTTTAAATAAATTTCTAATCGCATCCTTGGCTTCATCAGAGTTTCGAGGTTTAACATTCCCAAGAAGGATTTCTTTTCTAAAATCTTTATTTAGATCTCCATTCCTTTCCAGTGGTACTCCTTCAAGATGATCTGGTCGATCAGCTGCTTCTTTTGTTTGTTCATGAAGTTGCGGTTCTTCTCGATACACTGGTGGATGAGTGAAAGTGATTGTTAAGAGATTAGTGAAGAAGAGAAACCACTTCATGCTGGAATTTGATTTTCGAAAAACGAAAAACGTTAATGAAATGAAAATGACATTTAAGTGCTTTAGTTAATTAAAGTTATAGATTTAGACAGATTTAGAGATTTATTTTGTGCTTAAAACACACAACTTTTAGTGCACTGAGTTGTCATTAGGGTCAGATTTTTGGTACCCTATTTTCTCTAATAGTAGTGCACCCCGGCGAGCCGAATTGATCACTATTTTACGGTTTCTAAGTTTTCACAGAAGCTCAATACTCTAATCATCTGCAAGATCTCATCGTATACTCTCTAATAGTAGTGCACCCAGCGAGCCGAATTGGTGACGATTTTACGGCTTCCAAAGTTTTCACAGAAGCTCAATACTCTAGTCATCTTCAAGATCTCATCGTCAGCTACATTTTCCGACCCCAAATCGATCGGTTCTGATAAGCGGTTCTTGAGATTTCGAGGAATTTAGGCGACGCTCTGGGTGCACTACTATTAGAGAAAATACGGTATCTTATTTAAAACCTTTACCAACTTGTAAACAAATCTTAATTACTTGATTCTATTGATTATTTGAATTTTAAAAAGTTCTTTGTGCTATATTTTTAATAGTTTTTATCTTGTTTTCTCTCTACATCTAATTATATTCATTTTTCTATTACGGATGGATTCTTCAAGATCATTTTTATGTAATCAACAACCACAATTCTCTCTAGCAGCCCCGCCAAAAACTACGGTATATCAGAACTGTGTTTTTGTAAGCATAAAGTAGAATTTAAAGATTGAAAATGCGTTCTGTGCTTTATCAAATTAAAGCCATCTTCAAAAATATTAAATAGTTTATTATGGCAAAGTTTTTTTTCTATAAATAAGGAAGTTTTTCTTTTGCTATTCAAAAGGCACAAATAACCGGGTTTAATTTTTAAAATAATTGATGATATTCTTAAGAAAAAAAGATACAGAAAAACAAAAAAAATAAATAAATTACATGTTCTAGAATTATCTAAATAAAAAAAAGAAACAAAAATGAAGTTATTTCACAAAAGCTGCTCCCGTTTCTAAGATCAAAAATCGCAAAATCGATGGAGATTTCAGGGGGTACGGTAGAATAGGTGCACTATGATGAAAAAAAAAAGCATATAACCTTTGAAAACCGGAATAGGCAAGGAAATCCCTATTGAGAAAGGATAAAGCTCTGAATCTACCAGCATTTCAATAGTACAGTACCCTTCTAGTAGTGAACAGTAGTGAACAGAAATTCACACCTGGCACACAAACTTTTGGTAGATTGGAGACTTTATGAGAAAAAGTGATGAGAAAATGGAAATATTCAATCTACCAATTGGCTTAGAATTCGATTAGAAAGAGGGATTAGAAAGAAATTCATTACAGTATGGTATTGTACTTCTGATTTTAGGCACCTTTACCGTTAGCAGCCGGGGCCAATTTTTCCCCAACTTGCAACCAAATTTTATATAGGTTTTTGCCAACAAATTTTGAAAAAACAATTAGCTCCTGAAAGCTAACGTTCTAAGCTATCTAAATCTTATTAAAACTTTCTGATTTGACAAGTTTAAGGTACTTAAAAATGAGCTGCAAGTTGACCAAAAAATTGGCCCCCGCCGATAATCACTATCCCTTGCCGTTAACCGTAAAGATCCGATATTCGAAACGCATCTCTTTTGACACAAAAAAAACAAGGCTCCGGTAGATTAAACATCTTGAAAATAAGGATAAATTAAGGCCAACAAATTGCTTAAAAATTTGGCAAATTATTGCTGATGAGAAGAGAAAAGACAATAAACAAATTAAGAAACATAAATAATTTATGGCAAAACGCTGCCGTTAAAAAAGCTAGACGAAGAGGCGTGTTGAATGGGCTTCGTTCGACAGATCATCACCTTGATACAACCGCTCAAATCTGCTGATACAATCACGTCTTCTGGAAACGGTTTTAGTAAGATGGCTGAGCTTGAATATTTGGTGTAAAATTTTAATATTTAAACACATTCAGATCCCGATACTATTCCCAAATCATAGGTGAAAGATTTTTGCTAGTTTCTTGAGAAATCAGCCCAATCACTCAATCAAAATCAATTTTTGAATGCAAATTTGACTCTACAGTGAAAAAGTAGCCGATGGGAAGATAAACAGGAAAAAAAACGGGCTAAAAACGGCTTCAAACTTCTAAAAACGAGCTAAAAACGAGCTAAAAACGGCAAAAACCGGGATAAAAACGGCTTAAAACGGCTGAAACCGGCTGAAAACAGGTATAAAACGAGCTAAAAACGACTAAAACCGGGCTAAAACCGGGCTAAAACGGCTAAAACCAAAAACTGGGCTAGAAGCGGCTTAAAACAGGCTTAAAACGGGCTAAAAACGGCTTAAAACATTTAAAAACGTCTAAAACCGCTAAAACCGGACTAAAAGCGGCTTAAGTGGCTTAAAACGGGTTAAAAATGGGCTAAAATGGGCTAAAAATAGGCTAAAAACGGTCAAAAACGGCTAAAACCGGGCTAAAAGCGGCTAAAAGCGAGCTAAAAACTGCTAAAACCGGCTTAAACGGCTAAAAACGTAATTTACTGTCAAAGCAATAGAATTTGCTTTGTTTTTAAGCTCAAATACACTTCTGATTCTGCACTTAACACTTTTGTATTCATTGTGAGTTTACTGATTACTCTAGTTGATTCTAAACCCAATTATAACTCTCAAAAACCCACCATCATTCAATTGTTGCTTATCCTTGTCAAACGATGTCGAACTCGGCTTATGCCCGCTTTTGATTCCCAACAAATCCAATGGTTTTGGAGCAAATACAGCCGTTGATACAGCCGCCGTGTGTGCCCGTACTCGTTCCCACATTTTATTCCGATCTTTTCTCACAGATAGCGAAGACGGTAAATCGCTTGTCCTCCACAAGTAAACGTGTCTAAATTTTGAAATAATTTCGATATTTTTTCAAGTCTTACTTATCCTCCGATCCACAAATCACATGTTTCCCATCGGGCGCAAATGAAGCTCGAATTTGCGAGTGTTCGTTTTGAGCGCCGATGAATTTACACGTCAACGACATATCTCTTACATCGTACATTCGTACGCGTGAATCATTGGAAGTCACCTAAATTGAAAATTTTAAAAATGTATTAGGTTGGTGAATTGAAAACTGCCGGACTTTGAACTAAAATTTATTCAACATAAAACCATGAATTCATTCGAAATAATTTCCATTATTATTGACGACTTCTGCCCATTTTACAGGCAATTTGCGGATTCCTCTTTCGTGGTAGGATTTTCGTTTTGAATCGAAAAACTTTCAAAGCCAATTTTTGACTGCTTCTTCCGAATCGAAGTGTTCTCCCGCAAGCAAACTGAACCGTTTCCAGCGAGTCCGTTCCTTAACCAGAGAAGAGAACTCTGGCTCGGGCCTAGTTAGGTGTCACCGAGTTCATTTGCGTTACCGCCCGATGCACTCAGAAGAGTACAAATCTCCGTATCCGGGTACGGGAATATTATTCATGGTCCAGAATAATCAAAAGGGGAGAGGTCCGGACTGTATGGGGAATGCGCCAAAAGTTCCCAAACAAGGCTGTTTATTTTAGAGCGAGTCAGTTTTGCAACATCAGGGCGAATTTTATTATTTTATTATGGATTGGCGAATTGAAAACTGCCGGACTTTGAACTAAAATTTATTCAACATAAAACCATCAATTCATTCCAAATAGTTTCCATTATTATTGACGACTTCTGCCCATTTTACAGGCAATTTGCGGATTCCTCTTTGTAGTAGAATTTTGGTTTGTGTGTAAGACAAGTGTGAGACTCAAAAATGGAGGACTGGAGATGTCCCAGTTTGAGCACTTTCTTCAAAAGAAACCCATTTTGGTGTCAATAGAAAAGTTGTAGAGAATCAAAAATTAGGCTTATAGACAAATTTCCAAAAAGATACACTTGGTAGTTTCGCTTAAAATGTAAGTTTTGTGAAAATTTGTAAATTTTGCATTTCTTGAAACCCAGTTTTTGAATTGTTCTGAAAATTTGGATATAAGCTTAATATTTGATTCTCTACAACTTTTCCATTGACACCAAAATGGGTTTCTTTTGAAGAAAGTGCTCAAACTATCACATATGACAATAGCCCGCAGTTTTCAATTCACCAACCCAATATATATCTTTTATGATATTCTGATCAAATTCTATGCAATTAATCAACTTACCAATAGCTTATCTCCATGTACAGCCAATCCAGTCACTTTATGTCCTCTTGCATTCTTTCCACGAGTCGATCTTGCATCAACAACTGTGTGATATTTCAACTGCTGAAATCATTTGCTTTTTCTTGTTTTGAAATTTGAATATTTACATCAGCTGTATAGAAATAACATCGACCGTTGTACGTGCCAACCACAGCGAATTTTCCATTCTTGGCGAATGCGAGAGCTGTGATGAATTTTACCTGAAAGTTTGCTAGTTTTTAAGCGATAATTTAGAATGCTCGTTGCTCTTGACGGATTCTCTATTGTATTTTCTAATCTTTAAAAGCAACTTCTTTCACCTGTACTTCATTCCAAACCGCCACTCTCTTATCCGGAATATGCCATAATCGCAATTTTCCATCAAGCGATCCGGAGAGAAAATAACGATCATCTTTTGGCAGAAAAGCTACACAAGTAACGAAATCGACATGTTGAAAGCAGCAAAGGCATTCAGTTCTTGTAATATGCCATAATTTGACTGTTCGATCCATTCCTGATGATAGAACAAAGTTGTTCTTTGACCAAGACAAGTCGAGCACATCGGCTGTGTGTCCCTAAAAAGAAAGTTCGTATTTCTTTACAGTATTTCTTATTCATTGACCCTAAAATGACAATTTAAGACAAGTCGAGATTCATTGACCCTAAGATTCAGATTCATTGACCCTAAGATTGACCTAAGATTCATTGACCTAAGATTCATTGACCGAGATTCATTGACCGTAAGATTGACCTAAGATTCATTTACCTAAGATTCATTGACCGAGATTCATTGACCCTAAGATTCAGATGCATTGACCCTAAGATTGACCTAAGATTCATTGACCGAGATTCATTGACCCTAAGATTCAGATTCATTGACCCTAAGATTGACCTAAGATTCATTGACCTAAGATTCATTGACCCTAAGATTCAGACTCATTGACCCTAAGATTGACCTAAGATTCATTGACCCTAAGATTCAGATTCATTGACCCTAAGATTGACCTAAGATTCATTGACCCTAAGATTCAGACTCATTGGCCCTAAGATTGACCTAAGATTCATTGACCCTAAGATTCAGATTCATTGACCCTAAGATGACAATTTAAAACAAGTCGAGCACATCGGCTGTGTGTCCCTAAAAAGAAATTTCGTATTTCTTTACAGTATTTCTTATTCCTTAACCCTAAGATGAGAATTTAAGATTGAATTTTCTTTTGACTCACCTTTAGAGTAACAAACGGCTGTGCCATGAATACGAGCGGTCCTTTGTTCTCTTCTTCTGATGGATTTGAGTTAGTGATGTCACTTTCCTCTAGTGAAGATGGAGCTCGAAACGCTTCACTGTCACACATTGATCGTTCAAACATCTAGAAATATTTATTATAGATATTTTTATCGAAATTCTTCTTCTTCTTTATAAACCTCTTGTGGCGGACAATCAGCTCTTTTCATGTAGCGATCGCGAAGCGCTTCGAAATGCCGAACATGCGCCTTTGCTACCCAGATTCGAATGATTGCATCCTGAAATATTAGATAATTTAATAAAACTAAGTTACTTGTTTTCTTCTCAGTCACTTTTTTTAATCTATAAATGAACCTGGCCAGCAGTTGCCATTAAACGACCGCAAACTGAGAAACGAACCACCCAAACGGCTCCCGTATGTTCGGCTTTAATTTCCTAAATCTCATTCGTTTATAAAATTTTCTTGAATAAATACTTGTGCAACTTTGAGATTCTCAAAGTCATAAGGACCCTTTTTGGAATATTTCGGTCGAACGAGTGGTACTGAGGTGTGGCCACGAGATGAATGCCCATCAGCTTGTGAGGGATCTCCTCCATCTTCACTCTCACTCCCACTATCCTCTGCATCAGTTTTCAACGCTGGAGTCGGCTTCCAAACATGTACAGCTCTTAAATAATCTCTTTTTGATTTCTCTTTTTAATTTACTTGTTAATCATTCCATTTATCCATGACGAGGCATAGCTTTTCACAATACTTCTTGCATAACCCATTTTTGAAGTAGGCGAAAGTTGATCTGATCGTTCATCATCGTCAAGTCTGAAAGCATAACTATTTTTGAACTCTAAAGCTTTATCAAGCTTTTGAATTAGAGAATCTTTTACCCAATCGTTTTTGAGCCCATTTGTCCATGTGATTTCATGCTCATTCGTCGCTCAACATCTCGCGTGATTGGATCAACAGCCTGGAAAGGACATTCGATCATTGGACATTAGATTTTAAGACCTATAACAAAAATTGTATGCTTATCTGAAGCTTGACAAGACCATGGTTAAGAAATTAAGTGAAAAAATCTTTCTTTAAACCAACTTGCACACTTCCAGATGGAGATGGCCTCTGTGGCAACATATCCGAAGTACTTCTTTGTACAGGAGATGGCTTTTCGACTACAACTGATAACTTCTCAAAGTCCATCGCTTTTCCATTATGTGCTGGTGAGGCTTCGCTCTCTGTTTCTTCCATAATCGTTTCCGATTTGCGAGCTTCGCGACTAAAATTCGATATAAAACCTTGACACAAATTTTACTTGTTATTGAAAAGCCTCTTCTGAATCGGAGTCTCGAATTCTAGAGGTGGCAAAACGATGATCGAGGTCGATGGGCCATCTCCATTTACTTGATCCGTTGAGGAGTTAGTCTAAAGCCCAAATGATTGCAAAATGTTTTGGTTTAGACTCACTGATGCTATTGTATTCTCAGAGTTGTGTTCAGACATCAATTGTGTTGTCAACTCTGAGATGACTCCTTCTGCTTCTTGATTTCTTTCCTCTTCTTCTCCATCCGGTGGCTCTGTTCCTCTCGTCAATGAATTCGATTTTTGAGATGGTGGTGGAAAAGGACCCGTCTAAAGACAAAATATAATAAAATCTTGAATCTGAAAGAAGCTAGCTAAGGAAAATCCAACTGTACTTGTCCAATCTTGATTGAGATCTGAATTCATTTTATAATTTAACAAAAGAAAGCCTCTAATTTCAATTTTAGAGTTTTTAGTATAGCTTTTTCTCTTTAATAACCCACTTTTATCGACTTTGCTAGTGTCAATCCTCGATCCAATGAATTCGTCTTCGTGTGCCCTCTTCGTCTTCCCACAGAAGCCGGTGTTGGTTGAACAGAACATTCAGAAACATTTGGACTCGCATAAGAATTTCCTGAAACATTTCAAAATCTAATTAAATTGTAAAAACACACCCGACATCGACGATATCGAGCAAATCGATAGCTTTGGCTCAAGGGGTTTTTCCAAAGAAGTTGCTCTGCTTCTGTCCGAGTTTTCAGCGGATAGGGAATGACTGGAATATTCGTTTTCCTAGGTCAAATTTATTTTTAAACCTTTGTACTTCGAGAACTGGTTCAAGTGGTGGTGAGGTTAGAGTTTTCGGTGAAGGAACTGGCATCGGTAGACAAATCGATGGGTTTCGAGGAGGTACTGGAGGAGGGCTTCGGAGCTGAATTTTCAATGCTATATCTATTTTAAAAGAATTTACTAGTTGTTTAGAAATTGAATTTATTTAACGATTAGATTTACCTCAGGTAGCGGTGGAGGTGGATGAGCTGGCGGGGGACCATTTGGTGAGGTGACAGTACTTGAAGAAGTACTCGGATATTGTGGAATTGAATTTCGAGCAGCTCTAGAGTAAAGGAATTGCCAATAAAATGAGAAATGTTACCCATTGTAGTAAGGTGATTGTATGAGTAGCGGAGATTCCATTGTGATACTCCCGCGTGTGCTCATTGCACATGTAGACGCACTGTCCGATGGATGAACGATTGCTGACGGACCGTTGAGCACTTTTCTGGAATCGAAGATACTATTTTCTCTAATAGCAATGCACTAAGCCTAAGCCTGAACCTGAGCCTAAGCCTGAGCCTAAGACTGGGCCTAAGCCTAAGCCTAAGCCTAAGCCTAAGCCTAAGCCTAAGCCTAAGCCTAAGCCTAAGCCTAAGCCTAAGCCTAAGCCTAAGCTTAAGCCTAAGCCTGAGCCTAAGCCTGGACCTGAACCTAAGCCAAAGCCTAAGATGTGGGGTCGGAAAATGTAGCTGACGATGAGATCTTGTGGGGGATTAGAGTGTTGAGCTTCTGTGAAAACTTGAAAACCGTAAAATAGTCATCAACTCGGCTCTTGCATGGAAAACACGGTACTTACAGAGTTTCTTCAAAGGCTCTTTGTTAGTTTCACTTGCCATTTCCCCTCACCTGTGCCAAGAATGAAGACTCGTATTCTCACTGATCAAACTCAGCGTGTCCCCATCGCCGGCAAACGTGGCTCCCGCCGTTCCTCCACCAAACTCATCTCTCATCTGCTTTCGCAATCCTCTTAATCTATCTCTTCGATTTGTTTGTGAAGTAGGAAGATTCTCATTCTAAATAGATTTCAGTTCGCTTTTTAATTTTAAAGTTACATTCTGTGAAGTATGAGAAGTGGTTGGAGTGTTTATGCTTGGAGCAGGCAGAAGTGGGTCGGGGAAGGCTCTGGGGCGTTTTGGTTCCTGAAAATTTTAAAGTTATTGACTTTTGTCTATGTAAAGAGTCAAATTATGCTAGTTTTAAGTCGAAAGAACCTACAGATTTCTTAAATTTACATTTAAATCGGTACTTATTGATCTTATCTCTGTAAAAGTATTTAATAGCTCCATCTCTACTCTCGATTTGAATTCGAATACATTTTTGCATGAATTTTTGTGGATTAAGATAAATAGAAGCTTTAAAATATCTGCTAATGTCTTTAAAATCGAATAAACCTTGAAAACTGGAGAGTTGTGTACATCAGTTCTAGCGTCTTCGAATAAATCCGTATCAGAATCACTCATCAATTGAACTAAAACTGATTCGTTAAATTTAGAAATTGAGAAACAATCAAATATTCTATTTAAAGAGGTATTAAACAAAAAATTTGTTTAATTAAACATTCAAATGACGTCATTTTTGGGAGTGGGACAAATGCGACCTTTGTTTTTGCGCACCCGGACATTTGCGCACCTTTTTTTCCGCACCTTGCCCATTAGCGCACCTTTTTTCGCGTTTTAAAAAAGCTCTAAAAAGCTAATATTAACCAATTTCTATTCCAAAAGTTGTTTTTCTAGGTAATTTTAGGGCGTAGAATCGAAATTTTGACATATCAGAGCTTGTGGAAGCGAACAGACGGAGTTATTTGAAAGACAAAACGGCTAGATCAAATTACAGGAAATTGTCGATTTTTCTCTTTGTATAACTCCGTCCGTTTGTTTCCACAAGCTCTGATATGTCAAAATTTCGATTCTACGCCCTAAAATTACCTAGAAAAACAACTTTTGGAATAGAAATTGGTTAATATTAGCTTTTTAGAGCTTTTTTAAAACGCGAAAAAAGGTGCGCTAATGGGCAAGGTGCGGAAAAAAAGGTGCGCAAATGTCCGGGTGCGCAAAAACAAAGGTCGCATTTGTCCCACTCCCTCATTTTTCTATTTTTTAACTTATAATTCACCAAAAAGAGACAAAATTAATCATGGTTTTTAAACCAGAAAATTTTTGAATAAAGAAAAAGAAATAAAAACTTTATTCCATTCTATCAGTAAATTTGAAGATAGGGTAACTTTTGCGAATCTTAAAATATAATAAAATCCTATGACCAAAAAGACACTAAGACTCACAAAAAAGATGACAGAAAAGAAAATTGTTGATAAAGCAAAAAAAGAAAAAGCTAAAACATGCTAAAATTAAACAGAAAAGCAGAATATTTACAACAGAATTGGGCGATTATTATGAGCAAGTTTTCGGCTGAATAGAACTATTGCATCTAAGAATTCTATGCGTTGAATCGTGAATCGGATTAGATCTTGAACTTGTCGACGACTCGATCGGCGAATTCTGTCGATTTGGCATAACTGAAAGAATCGGTTTTGGTTTTACCATTGTTGACAAGATTGTTTCAACCATTATCTCCAGTAAGATCCTGATCTGGATCAAAATCTCAAAAGCCAGGAGTCAGACCTGTACCTGGCTTCCGGCCTAACTCTAGCCTTCCCTGATCTATTAGGTACAAGCATAAGAAATGCGGATTTCAACATTTTCATAAATCTCCAACGATAGAAACCTGATATCGATGGATGTTATGTATATATGTTATATTAATAAAGCAAAGACTTGTCCTTAGCTCATTGCTAGGAGCTATATCTGTTTTTGTTCTTCAAATCAACTAGCTCAATTCATTAGCTAGCGTCAAGAACAGACTTAGACAATATGACAAACGCACATTACTATTAAAAGTTGTAAATCTCCTCTACAAAATAGGCTAAAATGTGTTTCAATTGATCGAAGCATTGAAGAAATTTCGAGGCCGAAATGCGAGTGACCAAAAAAAGAATCGAATCACTTTAGGGACAAGTTTAGTGTGGTCAAAATAGAGTTACCTTCCCAAAGATTTAAAAAAAAAGGATAACTATATATCAATTCATTAAAAAAGTCTAACGGAAATGCATTTACAGAAATTTAGATAGAGCGTAAGTTCAAAACCCTCAAAATTGTCAAAAAAAACCGGCTTTTTCGCAAAAAAGAAAAATTATTGTAAAAAACAAAGTTTTCCCATGAAATGATCCCAACTCTTAATTATTTTGAATGATATTTGAATCATTTTGAATGAAGGGCGCTCATTCTCCACTATATAGTCAAAACTGAGCTCTTGTGAAAGTAGGGTTTTCAAAAAGTGCCCTGCAAAAAGTGCTTTCTTGGTCACTCGCATTTCGACCTCGAAATTTCTTCAATGATTAGATCAATTGAAACACGTTTTAGCCTATTTTGTAGAGGAGATTTACAACTTTCAAATAGTTTATAAAATCGATATCAGGTTTCTATCGTTGGAAATTTATGAAAATGTTGAAATCCGCATTTCTTATGCATGTACCTAATAGCTCAAAAGCCTGTTTTTCTGTTTTTTCTGTTTCTTGACATTCTTAACATTCCATTCTTGTTTCTAGACTTTTTAAAGATAATATTAATATATCATTCTATAAAAAAGCTATAAACTAACCCTCCAAAATCCTGCGTTCGAACTTTTCCTTCTTTAACAACATCGTAAACCGCTTGACGTAAAGCATTACCTAAACTTTGTCTTAAAAAAGATCTTATTACACAAATTATGAAGTTATAAATGTTAATTTCTGGCTTTAACTATGATAATCTATAAACTTTAGCAACTTAAACGACTTATATTTAGTGTTAAACATCGTAGTTACAAGTTCTACTCACCATAAGTATCCAAGTGCAAATGATTTAACATGTTGGCGGCGCAAAGAATCATCGCTGTTGGATTAGCGATTTGTCTGAACAAGAGAAATCATGATAAGAGTTTTATAAATACCTTCCAAGAGCAGCGTGGAAAGCGTGTCGACTTCCTGGCTCGAAAATCACAAAATCTGAGCCAACCGACTCAGCTGGTACCACTCCAGCTCCACCAACAAGTCTAAAAGAAGAAAATTTTAAAAAAGAGCAAAACCATACCCAGCAGCCAAGTTGTCAATGATGTTTCCATACAAATTTGGCATAACCATTACATCGAATTGCTCAGGTCGGCTGACAAGTTGCATACAAGTATTGTCAATGATCATTTGATCGAATTCGATACGTGGGTAGAGTTTAGCAGTCTAGAAGATGGTTTTAGTTTAGGAGTACTGGAGAAATAACTTGGTAGTACTGTAGATTCGTTTTACTGTAAAATAATAATACTGGATCAAGCTACAACTGATCTTTTATCTCAAATCACTCGGCCATGATCGACGATCGACAATCACTCGGCCGCTATGGCCGCTATGGCCTATGGCACTCGGCCGCTATGGCCTATGCAACTCGGCCGCTATGGCCTATACAACTCGGCTCAGAGTGCCATAGCGGCACTCGGTCGCTATGGCCTATGGCACTCGGCCGCTATGCCCTATGCAACTCGGCCGCTATGGCCTATGCAACTCGGCCGCTATGGCCCAGTGCTTAGAATTATTTTTCAAGCAGATGCTCTAACCACTGAGCTATCCAGCATCTTCTTGCTAGAGAAGAAAGAGGATACAAGGGGAAAGAGAGGAAGAAAGAGTGGTTAGGATTCTTGTATCCTAGTCGGGGATCACGAGTTCAATCCCGCTAGAAAATTTGACTCTTTTTCCCATATATCTATGGGTTTTTCTCTGCTATATTCTTTAGGAATATTAGGGCAATAAGCTTGTGTATTTCTTTATATCAGATTATTCTTATTAAATAAATGTATACTTTTAAATATACCTCTTGACAAACTTTCAAGAAAAGCCCATCACCGAGCTTCATAATATTGGCTTTATGAACGGCAATAACCTAAATTAAAAATAAAAATAGTAAAAAAAAAAGTCAAAACCTTCTTTCTTCCGTGCTTTGTGGCATAATCAAAAGCAAATTTTGCGATTCGTTCAATTTTTGGGCGCGTCGAGATTTTCAAGCATTCGATAACTCCTAAAAACAAATTTTTTTTGCTTAACTACAAAGATCTGGAATAAAAGATAATGATAACAAAACAATAACAGATATCATGCCTGGAACAAGCTCATGCTCAAGAGCACTGTATTCTCCCTCGGTTTGTTCTCGAATGATTACAAAGTCGAGCTCTTTTCCATGACGTGTCTTGATGCCGGGAATGGTCTGTAAATAGAATTAAGGTTTTCAATAAAGCTTAGTCTTTTGAAACTTTTAGTATTAGTATTTTCTTCAGAGTCAAGCCAAGATTCAAGGTTGATTGCTTGCAAAAGTAAAGTTGAACCTCGCTTCTAGCTAGATAAAGCTCTAGCTAGATAAAGCTCTAGCTAGATAAAGCTCTAGCTAGATAAAGCTCTAGCTAGATAAAGCTCTAGCTGGATAAAGTACCTAGCTGGATAAAGCTCTAGCTGGATAAAGCTCTAGCTGGATAAAGTACCTAGCTGGATAAAGTACCTAGCTGGATAAAGTACCTAGCTGGATAAAGTACCTAGCTGAACTTACTTTACAGGTTACAGATTACTTATTCATAACCTCCTACTGCCTGATTATAGGTATTAGGTAAAAATCCTTGCTTAATCTACCTTGATGTGACAAACATTCGCAAACAGATCGAGTCGTTTCCTCAATCGCATGTTTAATCCAAGAAGATCACCCTCTGTTTGCAAAACAAACGCTTCTTGAATGGCTCCTGAAATTAAAGAGATATAAGAATAAGAGTTAGACTTGGCTATTGGGTAAGTTAGTATCAAATGAAGTCAATTGATACTTAAATATATCAAAAATGTAATCAATGTAAGTCATAGATAAGCTAAAGATTCTGGTAATCGTTCTAATTTTTGCGTTTCTTCTTGCATTTTCTATTCTACACTAAATCTAACTAATAAACTCATTAATTCGATAAATTTTACCTTTCAAAGCAACATTGTTGTTTCTACTGATCGACTCAACGGCTTTTTCGATTGACTCCGAGCGATTCCAGTGAATGTCCGAAAGGAATAGCTCTAAAAAAAACAACTTTTACATTGAATTCTAATTAGTTAATGTAATTTTTTGACTCACCTTCAAATTCTAGTGGGATTCCAGTGCTCTTAACAATTTCTTGCACAAGATAAATTAATTCTGGTCCAACTCCATCTCCGGGAATGGTTGTTACCTAAATAAAATAAAATTTGGCTTTCAGTTAAGATTCTAAATAGAGAAGAAGCTTTTTGCCCAAAAAATCTCAACAACACTGTCACATGAACCTTTAAAGCATGCCTTACCAGCTGAAGAGAAAGATGTAATCTAAAGTTTTTAAAGCTATAGACGAAGAATAAGCTTTATTTTGAACATTGATTGATTTATGATGTTAGCCAAACAGAAACTGGCAAATGAAAAATGTTAGAACCATCCAGACGGTTTTGGCTAAGACTGGCTTAGATCTAAACATTCTTAAACATAAAGTAAAGTAGGGAACGGTAAAGAAAGATTTCTGGAAAAGGGATTGAACCTTTTTGCTTTTCAAGCAGATGATCTAACCACTGAGCTATCCAACTATGAGCTATCCAACTATGAGCTATCCAACTATGAGCTATCCAGCTATGAGCTATCTAGCTATGAGCTATCTAGCTATGAGCTATCCAGTATCTAACCCTTGTATCCTCTTTCTTCTTTCTAGAGAAGAGGATACATAGGGAAAGAAAGGAAGAAAGAGAAGAAAAAGACTAAGCTACCTTTATGGAGTTACCTTTATGGCAAACGTGATTTTAGATCCCGTACAAACCTTGAGTTTGTGGACAGGCTCGCCAATCGGATCAACGGCAGCGGTTGCCACTCCTCTCACAGCAATGCTCGCTCCTCGCGTAAGAGCAAACAACGAACGGCTGAGCATCCTGAAATTTAATCATTTACACATAATCTAATGACAAAACTAATGACAAAACTATAAACTAAAAAAAAAATATGATACAAAAATCATAAAATGTACAAAATAAGATCAATGGTTCACTTGAGATGAAATAAATTGCGACATGTAAGTGCTCATCCCCGTGTTGAGATCATCATCATCGAAAGAATCATAGCCATTATCTTTAAGCTTTGATTTTTTAGCTTTTTGAGGATTTTTTGATGATTTCAATCGTTTTCGGTTTGGTGTTAGAGGAAAAGCGACAATTTTTAGATCTTTTGACGGTTTATTCACTTTATTCACTTCTTGCGATTCAACCAATGATCTTCTATTTGTTTTTGGTCTCAAATATGTTCTTGGCGTCGAGTTCTCGGAAATTCTCAATCTTTGCGAGCTTCTTTTCGGTGTATTCGGTGAAGTAAACGAATTTTTTCCTTGAAGCCTTGTATGTCGTTGATTGGAGAGTGGTGAATCGTACCAATTTACTCTTTGTGATGATTGAGTTGATGTTGATGGAGTTAAATCGATCAATTTTAACTTTGGTGTTTTTATTGCACTCTTGTCCATGAATTTTCGATTGAAATCCTTTCAATGATCATCAGTTTTGCTGAAAAGTTTCTTTGAAAAGGAAATCGGTTTTAAAAGAAAGATTGCATGATAAGATAAGTTTTTTTTGAGAGTTATGTGGGTGGAAAACGCTTGAGAACGCAAAAATTTACGACGTTATTTATTCTACAGAGAAAAGAGACGCGCTACAAGACCCAACACATGACAGAGAAACGGGGAAATGCTAAGAGATCTTTAGGAAAAGAGATCGAGAACAGAACAGACTTTAAGCAAACGTAAGTACTTCAAGGATTGAATGAAATTGTAAAATATAAACTTAATCTGACTTGAATCTGGTTTTGAAATGAAATTGGTAAATAGCTTGACTGTTAGCCTAACTATTAGCCTAACTGTTAGCCTAACTGTTAGCCTAACTGTTAGCCTTAAGCTGACCAGTTAACTGTTTAAGTCCTACAAGTTAAATAAGCTAAATTTGTAGTAAAGGGAAAGGATTCTTTTCTATTTTATATTCAACTTTAGCTAGCTTTTTGAAGCTAATAATGCTACTGAATGATTTGAATCTAGATCCGAAGCTAATAATGCTACTGAATGATTCGAATCTAGATCCGAAGCTAATAATGCTAAAAATGCTACTGAAATGATCCGAATCTAGATCCAAACCTAGTAGTGCTAAAAATGCTACTGAGTGATCCGAATCTAGATCCGAAGCTAATAATGCTACAAATGCTTCTGAATGATCCGCTATCTAGATCCGAACCTAATAATGCTAAAAATGCTACTGAATGATTCGAATCTAGATCCGAAGCTAATCATGCTAAAAATGCTACTGAAATGATTCGAATCTAGATCCAAACCTAATCATGCTACAAATGCTACTGAATGATCCGCTATTTAGAAGTTCCATGTTCTATATTTCAAAAGTCAATCGATCACTTTCCAACATTTCGCAAATAAATCAAATAAGCGCTTTTTCATCTCTTCATTTCCCAAATCATAAATTCAATTTGAAAGTGGCAATAAGATTTATGTAAGGAATTTGGAAGAATTGTGAGAAAAGAGAATCAAAGGGGAAATGGGCGGAGCCGAGCTGTGCTTTAAGGGCCAATCCACCCTTCTCTAACCAGCCAGCTGAACAAACCTTACCATATCCCTTAAATCTTTTTAAAGCTTACAGTCAGCTTTACTGAAAATTCACCTTTTAGAATTCAACAAATGAGTATCAGACGAGGCTTCACTGTTAAAGAACTCCTCTCCAATCAAGATCAAGCCAACAACAATGCTCATCAAACTTTCTTCTTTGATAACGACGATCTATTCTCAAGTGGTTTCTTTAAACTTTAAACTTTAAACTATTCAAAAATAGAAAATCTTAAATTTTTGAATTAAACAATGAACTCTGTTGTAAAGAAAAATTTCAGCGAGATCCCCCAGCTCAATTCTAGAAGCTGATGAAGAGCAAAACTTTCACAATCCAACGAAAAGAGAAAAATCAAGAAGAGCAAGAACTGCTTTCACTTATGAACAACTTGTGGCTTTGGAAAATAAATTCAAATCAACTCGGTATTTGAGTGTTTGCGAGCGGTTGAATTTGGCTTTATCTTTGAGACTCACGGAGACACAGGTTAGAAGCTCATAACTAGTTATTATTTTAGCATAATAGCTTTTTGAAACTAACAAAGTGTTCTTAAAACTGAAAGCTTTTTTTAGGTAAAGATATGGTTTCAAAATCGAAGGACTAAATGGAAGAAGCATCATCCGGGAGCTGATGCAAATGCTCCACCTTCTCCAAGAAGCAATGGTAAAGTAGATTTAAGGATTTTGCTAACCAGTAAAGCAATTCACAAGGAAAACTAGATTTCTGGAGAGGGGATTGAACCCTTGACCTTTTACTTTCCAATCTTGAACCCTAAATCTTTTACTTTCCAATTGCTCTAACCACTGAGCCCCGGTACCTTAACTTACCAAGAGAAAGAGAGAAAGACAAGGGGGAGAAAGAAGAAAGAAGGAATGTTAAGTTAAGGAAAGTATGACCGTAACTCAAATATCAAAGCTCTTTTTAGATGAAGGCTCTTCCGTTACTCCAACTCTCAACTCCACCTGTTTTCCCGGTTCAACTCCAACCACTTCTCTTCTAATGCCACAAATTCTTCCATTTCACATTTACTCAATGCCTCCAACACCGTTCTTCTTTCCATCTGCTGCTTTAGCTTTTGCGTAAGTCTTTGCAAAGAAATATCAACTAAACCGTCAGAGATAGAAATGAGAATGCAAAGGTTTCATTAGGTTTTCAAATCTTGACCACTTGCAAGTGTTTCATTACAAAAAACCTTAAGATTTCTAATGTTCAAGCTGAGCAGTTTGTCAAACTCCTGGATAACTCAATTTTCCTAATTTCAATCTTCAGAAGAGTTGACAATCTCTCAAACAAACCTTAAGATTTCTAATGACAATCTCTCAAACAAACCTTAAGATTTCTAATGTTCAAGCTGAGCAGCTTGTAGAACTCTTGGATAACCCAATTTTCCTAATTTCAGAAGCAATCTTCAGAAGAGTTGAATCTCTCAACTTCTACTAGTCAAATATGGGTATTTTTTCATTTTTCATTTTTTCATTTCAATTTTCTATCGCATTCCATTTCAATTCTCAGCACTTTTTTCTGTCCCTGTGAAGCTTTAAACTTTCCTGTGATTTATCTAGCAATTTTTCTTCAGATAAACTTTTTATATATAAAAAAAACAGAGCATATCATTGAGTGAAACTAAAAAATTCAATTCTACTATTTGATTGAAAACAATTTAAAAAAAAAAAATAAAACCAATCTTCTTAAGTCTTATAATGTGTTCTTTTCGCATCTTCAATTCTCAATTTCATCTCGTATTTCCCGTATATGTATGGGTGTTGGGCCATTCGTTAATCGCTAAACTAATTAGACGAAATGAGAAGCGCCCGGCCTATTAGGAGGGATTTGTCCCGCAATATTGCCTTCAAAAGGGAAATAGGAAAAGGGGAAATAAAGAGTGTCCTAACCAATGAAATTAAGGAAATAAGCGAAATCCATGTACAGTCAACTCTCTTTATAACGGAATGGAAGGGAACAAAAGAAATTTCTTTGTTATAGAGCTTTCCGTTATATAAAGCTTTTCGTTATATAGAGCTTTTCGTTATATAGAGCTTTCCGCTATATAAAGCTTTTCGTTATATAAAGCTTTCCGCTAGATAAAGCTTTTCGTTAGATAAGGCTTTTCGTTATACGAAGCTTTTCGTTATATGAAGCTTTCCGCTAGATAAAGCTTTCCGTTAGATAAAGCTTTTCGTTATATGAAGCTTTTCGTTATATAAAGCTTTTCGTTATATAAAGCTTTCCGCTAGATAAAGCTTTCCGTTAGATAAAGCTTTTCATTATATAGAGCTTTTCGTTATATAAAGCTTTCCATTATTTAGAGTGTCGTTTTCTATAGTTTAGCGTCAGTTGGGACTAAAATTTCATTTCGTTATATAGAGTTTCCCGGTAGAGCATTTGTACATTCATACAAAAGAATTAAACTCAAACAAATTAAATCTGAAATTACTTTATTTCTACAAAAGAATAATATTTTAAACAAATTTAATTTTTTTTTAATGAATTGTCAAAAGTTGTATTGCTTTTTTGTATCCATTATTGCTTTATTTCTCAAAGATAAAGTTTTTCAAAGCTTTTTGCTTAACTAGGAAACTTTTTCAACTTTCAAAACCGATTTTCGAAATCGGATCTAGCTACAAAACGCTCCTTAGAATTCTAAGAAACACTTATTGTTTATTTTTTTTTCCAATCGGCCCTGGTTTTCGAGAAAAACGTACTATATACTTTTATACTTGTAACAAAAAGCAAAGAATTTGGCGGCAAGCGGAATTGAACCCGTGAGCAAAAATGGCATAGGTTTCGTGGTCTAGCACACTATCCCTTAGGCCACTCCTGCCCTTACTCTTTTTTGGCAGTTGCGCCCTCTTATAGGCTCTGGTTTTCAAGAAAAACGCGTCCAAAGTTTCGACAATTTTCGGGGAAGCTAACTATAAGAGGGTCCCATGCCAGGCAGGAGGAAAAGCAGCGATGGCCTGGGGGATAGTATGCTCGACTACAAAAATGACTCGGTACTCGCTCGGGGGTTCAATTCCGCTTCCCGCCAAACTTTTGCCACACGTATAAAAAACGTTTTTCTCGAAAATCGGTGGTAATTTGAAAGAGTCCCCTAGTAAGAATTTGTTTTAAACCAGGAAATTTATGCTTGTCTCCTACAGAAAAACTTCTTGAATATTCAAGTTAAAATCAATCAAATCAAATAAATCAAAATAGAATGGGTATAAAGGCTTAGCTAAGATTCTATGCAACACTAATTCTATACCTAGCTCTATCGATTTCACAGATATTCCTCGGTTAGATAACTTACAGTAATCTAAACCAGTTTTACAATGAGTTTACTCCAATTACTGTAACTTTAGCTTTCTTAAGCTTTCTTAAGCTTTCTTCCAAAATCTTGCCCACCTAAAGCAACTCAATTTTATCTAAGCTTTCCCACCGTTCTCCCCCCTTTTTCCTTTGCGCTCATTCATCGCAAAGTTTTGAGTGATTCGTCACACGTGTGCTCAATGAAATAAAGGTTTTCTTGAGGAAATCGGCACAATTCAAGCTTTGATGCCTCCGCTTTTTCCTTTCTTTCAATAAGCTCAAAATGAGGCAAATAATGGGGTTGACTGGAGAATCAAAACAAACCTAAATGTTAGGCGAAATACAATTGTCTGTATAGCTATCGTAATCCTATTTTCCAGTTATACAGGTTATAATCCAGGCTCTACAGTAATCCAGACTCTACAGTAATCCAGGCTTCCTAAACTACAGTAATCCAAACTTCCTAAACTACAGTAATCCAAACTTCCTAAACTACAATAATCCAAACTTCCAAAAGCCCTTCCTATATAGTTACTTATAAAGCTACAGTAATCCAAGGAGTAACATGGCTCTTAAAGTATAAATAGCTATTACTATCTCAAAGTCACAGTAATCAATAGATAATCGAACGTAGTTTTGTCAGAGTTAAATCAATTACCATTTTAAACTTGTAAACTTTTAAAGAAATGTTTTCGAAAACTTCCAACTCTACCCTTGAACAATACAAACCACCAACCTTACGCCTTTACTTCTTCTTTCAAATCCAGTTATCATTTATTGACTTAAAGTGAATGACTTCAGCTGTCATCTTTGAAAAAAAGAACAATCGGTGTGGGCTCATTCAAAGTCTTCCCCCTTTTTTATCCATATTTTATGGGTGATGGGAGGACACTTGTCCATTGCTTGTCCTTTTGTCGATCTCTCTATCATCTCACCGCCATTCCCATCCACCCCTAAAACCCATCGATCTCAATTGATCCACGAATTGGACCCCAATTCCCCCTTCAATCCTATCCGCCATCCATCCTCCGTCAATCAGTAAAACAGTTGCTCTCAACACTAATCCAAAGCTTCTCTACATTAAACAACCATCCATTTCTTAATCTTTAAAGCTGAGTAAAAGAAAAACCTTGATGGGTTACTGTATCTTTGAAATTAGTCACAAGAAATTAAGAAAGCTTTAAACTTTTAAGGAGTGGGACAAATGCGACCTTTTTTTTGCGCACCCGGACATTTGCGCACCTTTTTTTCCGCACCTTGCCCATTAGCGCACCTTTTTTGTTGCGTTTTAAAAAGCTCTAAAAAGCTAATATTAACCAATTTCTATTCCAAAAGTTGTTTTTCTAGGTAATTTTAGGGCGTAGAATCGAAATTTTGACATATCAGAGCTTGTGGAACCAATTTGAAAGATAAAACATTACAGAAAATCAAATTACAGAAAATTGTCGACTTTTCTCTTTGTATAACTCCGTCCGTTTGTTTCCACAAGCTCTGATATGTCAAAATTTCGATTCTACGCCCTAAAATTACCTAGAAAAACAACTTTTGGAATAGAAATTGGTTAATATTAGCTTTTTAGAGCTTTTTTAAAACGCGAAACAAGGTGCGCTAATGGGCAAGGTGCGCAAATGTCCGGGTGCGCAAAAAAAAGGTCGCACTTGTCCCATTCCCAACATTTAGCTTGTCAAAAGACTTTGATAAGAGCTCAAACAATCACACAACAAGTTCAAACCAAAGATTCAAACTCTGACTTGAGTTTTTGATCATTTGAGAGATCATAAAAGCTCTCAGCTAGTTTTCAACCTTTCAGAAACTGACAGAAAACTGAGAAAGAGGTTTTTAGTGAATAACACAGCTGTGTTCGCACATTTCCCCTCAATTGCTCTCATAATGCATCACTAGAAAATCTTTTTGACAACTACGGTACTTGATTGAGATTTGATTTTGAATTTTAAAGAATTTATAAACTATGTTTAGAAGTTAGAAAGAAAAATCTTATTCTAATAAAGTTGTATGACTTTAATTAAAGCTCAAATTAAGGAGTTTTTTTCGGTTTCTTTGATTAGAATAATATCAAAACTTATAAAAGAATCAATTTTCAATCAAAAACAAAATGATTTGAGATCCGATCGAGATTCGAAAACTCTCACCATTAAAATCTTAAATAAAAAGCCGATTTCTCAATTTCTTCTCTTCTTTTCTCATTGAAAAAGCCGCTCAGTGAACGATTAAATAAATCAAAGCCGCATGGACACAAAGAGATTTTCTCTTTTGATTTAAGCATACTGTATTCACTTTGATCACAATAAAACGTGGGAAATTAGCTTTTGTTATCAATAGTTTATTGAAAAATCAAGGAAATAATCCGAATTCTTTCATTTGGAGTTTATTTTTCGATACTTTCTGCGCTTGGCACTGTAATATTGCTTTCAGTCTAACTCAACAACAGCAAAACAACAAACTCTTCATTAAACAATCATCCGTTTCTCTTGTTATCAATAGTTTATTGAAAAACCAAAAAAATAATCAGAATTCTTTCATTTGGAGTTTATTTTTCGATACTTTCTGCGCTTGGCACTATAAGATTGCTTTTAGTCTAACTCAAAAACAGCTCTTTAGTTACTCAAACTTCAAGTTAAGCAAACAGTCTTTCTAAATAATTCTAGTTTCTCTAGATAATATGATAACAATATATTAAACGAACAAAACTAAACTGTGATAAACCCACATGTGCACGCAAGTGAACATTGTGGAGAACGTGTGAAAATCTCAGCTAACGCATACTCACAACCCCAACTGATAGCTGCCTAAAACGAAATTCATTCAAGAAAACATGATCTTTAGCTAAAATATTCAATTGCAAATACCGTATTCTCTCTAATAGTAGTGCACCGTGAGCGTTGTCTAAATTGCTCGAAATCTCAAGAACCGCTTATGAGAACCTATCGATGTGGGGTCGGAAAATGTAGCTGACGCTGAGATCTAGTGGGGGATTAGAGTATTGAGCTTCTGTGAAAACTTAGAAACCGTAAAATAGTGATCAACTCGGCTCGTGCATGGAAAAGACGGTACTTACAGAGTTTCTTCAAGAGTTTCTTCAAAGGCTATTTGCTAGTTTCTAAGTCTCTAGTTTTTCTAGTTTCGAGTAATAATTTCTAGTTTCTATTAGGTTGATGCAAAAGTCTTTTTCATTTTTTTCGTACTTCTTTTGAAAAATAACAAAGTCATCAATTAACCTATGGTTTGCTCTAAATGAAAAGTGTTTATTGTTCAATTTCCCATCTTTTTAATTCAATTTGGGTTCACTTTCAAGCAAATTCGAGAGTGAAAACGGGTTTTTCATAAAAATCTATAAAAACCTCTATAAAGAAATTGGCTGAATCAATTTCTCTGAAAATCTGAAAAAATATCTAACTTTTTGTGCTCTATCTTTTATTAATTAACATCAAGATTGGTTTCCTTAGCTAAAGCGTCTAAAATGCATCATCGAGCCGTCGCCTTTTTTGACTACCCGACTTCAGGCTCTCAAAAAAATCTAGACATAAGACATTTTAAACTTGTTTTAATGTCATTTTGCAGAAAAATAATTGGCCTTTCGAATGCAATAAACCGTTGTTCAATTGGTGCATTTGTTACTTTTTAACGGAAGTACGAAAAAAATGAAAAAGACTTTTGCATCAACCTAAGAAATTTGCTAAATCTCGAAAAGTGCTTATTAGAACATATCGATGTAAGGTCGGAAAATGTAGGTGACAATGAGATCTTGCAGGGGATTAGAGTATTGAGCTTCTGCGAAAACTTAGAAACCGTAAAATAGTCATCAACTCGGCTCGCCGTCGTGCACTACTATTAGAGAGAATATGATAATCCTTCACCCACTTGATTCCCAATGCCGCAGTTTCGTCCAAAAGTCTCTTCAAAACCATCCACAAAGTCTTTACCGTAACTGTCGATTATATGAGTTATGATTTAATATTTATGATATGATTGCTATGATATATACAATTAGATTCTTACAGTATCTAGCCATAGCTACAGCACTTACGAGCAAGCCATTTCTGGTAGGATTTTGGTCATTGATTCCCACGCTTGTCGTATCGCTCTCAAATTCGATCCGAAATTCACCCATGTTAAACGAAAGCAGCCCTCGTTTGAAGAAATGACTGGAAATTTAAATGTCTAAAAAATGAACAATTATTTCAGTGGTAGAATGCTCGCTTGCCATGCGGGCGATTCCGGTTCGATTCTTGCACGATAAAAGAAAATAGCAATATCGTTAGGAAGAGTTTTATTTAAATCACGATAAATCTAGTGGTAGTGGTTAGAAATCTGGAAAGTTCTTACCTAAAATCTTTGGGAGAAAAGGACATCAGAAGGATTTTTCTCTACAGATTTGGTTCCCTTTCTCTGCAGATTTGGTTCCTTTTCTCTACAGATTTGGTTCCCTTTCTCTACAGGCTTGGTTCCTTTTCTCACAAAATCTATAGAGAAATAAAATAAAGAAATTCAAATCTAAAAGCCGTTGTGATAAGAAAAGACATAACAGAAATATTTCTGCAAATTTTCTTTGATCAGAATATCGAAGATTATTTCTTGTTAGAGTCACCATCTTAATAAAACACTCACTTTCAAATCCATCTTCACACGTGTAAAGTAAATCGTTAAAGGCTGAGGCAAATATATAAGCCTAGAAATTTAGAGTTACAGAAGCGAATCTTTACTAACATCATTGACATTGGCTCCTCTCTGAATGAAGAAATCAGCCGAGGTGCAAGCTGTATAACTACTATCCAAACATGCCTTGAATTCTTCAAAGGCGCTAGAATCATTTGATTATTTTTATTATAGTTATAAAATTACCTGCAAAGCGCACGAGTTCCTGTGAAGCCTTTGCGGAAATAGAGCTCGAACTAAATTAAACTTTTACAACTTGTTTACATCTTTCTATTATTAATAGTCAAGTGAAATCTAAAAAAAAATACTTACATCATCTCGCCAGAAAATCGGAGTGAGCCATGGTTGCGTGTTACTGATGTTGAGAGCAGTGTTCAGCATCGCTTGACAACTCATATAAACAACACTGGTGCATTCGTTTTGAGCCAATCCGCTACCTATAAAATTTAAAAGTCACTTAGAAAGCTATTTAGAATCTTTAGCTAACCACAGAATAATAGAGCTTAATAAATTGGAATATTTACATACAGGGTGGCGCAGGATTATAGCGACTGACATGGCACTCCAAGAGGCAAACATGGCACTCCAAGAGGCAAACATGGCACTCCAAGAGGCAAACATGGCACTCCAAGAGAACCAAAAAAAAAATCATATAACTTTAACTTTAAAACATCTATTGAACTTCAAATCAAATAAATCAACAAAAATTTTCAAATTGATTGCCGTTTTTGCTTGAACAGGCTTTCAGGCGCTTGGGGAATGCATCGACCGTGGCGATCAAGTATGGTGCATCCATTTCTGTGACTGGTTTGACTTCTGCTTCAACCAATCCCGCACACGTTTGATATTTTCCTTTATAACCGCTGTTGAGCGTTCACCTCGTCCTAGCCAATCATTATTTGTTCCTAACGATTGAAACCGAGTAATGGCACGATAAACAACACTCCAGTAAACATTCAAACGCTTGGAGATGTCTTCACGAACCTATTTTGCAACAATTCTGTAAAAAAACTTACTGAAATTGAAATTCGAAATGAGTTACAATAAGTCTAAGAAAGTCAATATGCAGTCGTAAAACTGCGATTAAATGATCACTAAACGGAACTCCTTGTCGCTATAATCCTGCGTCACTCTGTAATTCAAACCAACCACAGTAACGACTCACTGATTGCGGTAGCGATGAGCAGTATGCGGAGAAACATGGTGATTATTTCCTAGTGGACTTTTCTCAAGTTTTTTGCAGAAGAAATCAATTCTTTCAATCAAACAAGCGATAAGATGAGTGGAAAAGTCGTTAAAGATGCCAAACTATATAGAAAATACTTTGTACTTGCCGAAATTACTTAAAATTCGATCAATAAAGTTTAGGACCCAAGTATTTGAATTGAATAACGGAAATAAGAATATAAGAATAATAAGAATATACAGTCGAACCTCGTTAGTGAACTATGGATGGGATTCTTAAAAAAACACCGTTCACTATCGAGGCTTCATTAGTACTAAATCAACTCAAAGGGATCTTAAAAAAACCGTTCACTATCGAGGTGTTCGCTAACGAAGTTCGACTTCGACTGTATACCGAAACACAAACTTTTAAGAAAATAACTTGTGAGCAGTATTTTGATGATCTTTGGCTCATACAGTGACTCATAACTGCACCTTCATCCACCTTTGATCCCTTCTCAATAACTCTATTGTTTTATAAACCAGCCTAATGGCGGGGTTTGGCTTGATGTTTTGCGGTTGAGTTTTTGATTTCCTTTTGGGGAATTTCGAAACTTCTAGCCGAAATAACGGAGAAATCGTGAATGTGAGAGGTGTACTTTGGGGGGAGCGCACAATCGCGTGCCCTCTGGCACATGGGACACATAGATTGCGAGAAAGAGACCACTAGAGTCGGTTTAATTACCCAAGTTAGAGGTTGGTATAAACCCCGAGACTCACCTAAATGTCTCAAGAAATTTTGGAATGGATTTCCCTTTTTGGAAGTCCAAAAAGTCACTAATTGGATCACTTTGAATCCTTTTTGAATCTCTAATCCAAAAGAATCCGACAGATTGATCCTGTAATTGTTGTAAAGTTCCGAGAATGAAAGAAATCGATTTATACTGTTAGTTTGTGCAAAAATTGATTCCCAAGTCTCTAGATCAATCCAGAAGAATGCTCACGGCACTCGGGCTTCCCAAGCTGTCTCCGAACTAAGTACTAACCGATCCCAACGTTGCTTAACTTGGCAGATTGGACGGGATGCCGTATTTTCAATGTGCTATGGTCGTAACCGAGCGCTGGTGAGAGAAGGGTTGAAATAGTGCAAGAAAGAGAAATCCGAAGAGACGCCAGACGACGCGAGGGTGTGCACTTTTCGTGTGTCTCGTAGGAAAAAACGGTATCTGGCACACGGTCTTCACGGATAGGGCTACAGTGGCCAACCTCATCGGTTTAATTACCCAAGTTTGAGGTTAGCATTAACCCCAAGACCTTGTAAAAGTGTCTTGAGGAAATTTTGGAACGTGTTCCCATAAAGGGAATGCACAAAGCAAATGTGGAAATTGAAAGTGGGGAAGCATTGTTTGTTTCATTTTGGTTCACTTTCAGTTGATTTATTTGCCTAAAGCAGTAAACTTACCGTTTCAAGTGAAGATATTACTTCCATTTGCATAATGTAATGTGTAATAATTATATAATGGCACATACTGCACCTTCATCCACCTTTGATCCCTTCTCAATGACTCTCAATGTGCCTAATACCTTTCACCTAAATAAGTATTGTTTCGAATTTAGCTCTTTATCAAAGGTTTTTGTTATTTAATTACGCTTTTTCTTGAAATCCCTTAAAAATGCGAATTTTTTGTTGTAAATGATTGCTAATAAACTTTTTAAGATCAAACCAACAAATAAATGATCAGATTAAAAAAACCAATTACTAACTGTTTCGTGATTTATTTAATGTATGTAAATTGAAAGTAAAATCTTTTATTGATAGAAATAACTCAATCCGATAACATGCTTTTGATTGTGGACAACATGTCGAGAAATTCATTGAAATTGATTCGCCGATCACCATCCGAATCATCGGCGTTGATGATCGATTGGAGTTGAGTTGATGAAAGGTTTCCCAATCCTAAATCCCTCATGATTGGTCCCAGCTCGTTTGCGACAATCGTTCCACTCCCATCCTTGTCATATTCATCGAATTTCTCTCTCAATTGCCCGAGCTCTGAATCGCTCCAACCAGACATCGACAAACTAAACATTAACTGATATTTTGGTATTTAAAGTTTGAAATTACAAAAGTAGAGATAAGAATTTAGGCAAAAATTGGATTTTCTTCTATTCACTATAATAAAAAGCTTTAGAAATTTGAAAGAGTTAAGCATTGCACTTAAAAGTTTTCCTTTTGTTTACTAAAGTAAAGCAAGAGTCAAGTTTTATCAACGGAAAAGGAAAAACTAAAGAATAGAACTAAAAAGTGTATTTGGGTGATAGACTTTAAATAAGAAAAAGTGCTTATAATGATCTGAAAAGACTGGAAACTAAAGAAAAGATATTTACCGAATAGAAGACCTTTCTTCGAATAGAAGACGGGGTAAAGAGTCTCATCGCGTACTCCTGCGTAGCAGCCCTTTTTAAAATTTCTTTTCTGCATAAAAGCTTTCAATCAAGTGCTATAGGGCTGGAAAATGACCCAAAAATACCACATGAGCTAACAGATTTTTGAGCCATTTTTCAGCTCTATAGCACTTGATTGAAAGCTTTTATGCAGAAAAGAAATTTTAAAAAGGGCTGCTACGCAGGAGTACGCGATGATACTTCTTTATCCGGTCTTCGATTCGAAGAAATACGGTATCATTCTTTATCGAATAATAATAGTTTAAACCTTAATCTTAATAAAATACATTCTTAGAACTTAACATATCAGTAGATTTTCTTTTATGAATACTATTTTAGATGTCGAAGTTCACCGATTGAAAGGATAAAGCTCTTTAAATACCCTAAAGTCGCGAGTATAAGTTCTGTTTGGTTTTCGCATGCAAATTGACGGCTGTCTCCGGTGCGGTGTGTCGAGGGTTCGAACCCCGCTGCAGCATAACTTTTTTGCTTTTTAAGAACAATAATAGAAGTAAATTTATTGAGGGTTATAGCAATTTTATGCTGTTATTTGTTGCTCCGGGCGTGGCTCGGCGCGTCCGCCCTGCTCCTCTCCAGTGCTCAGTCTTATGGATCCCTCCCTGGCCTCTTCATCCGGCCAAAGTCCACGTCGACGGTCGAAAGAGATGCTTTCCAGCTGTCTTCTTCAACACTATCGTCTGGATGTATCCATGCACATAACAAATAGCAATGGTGATAGACTGTCACGCCAGCAATGGTGATAGGCTGTCACGCCAGCAATGGTGAGGCTGTCACGCCAGCAATGGTGATAGGCTGTCACGCCAGCAATGGTGATAGGCTAGTATCCCGCGCTCCAAGAACAATAATAAAAGTTTATATAACAATAAAAAGGTATAAAAACCCAACAAAAAGAAATTCAAAGCAATTAAAGCGAATGTAAAATAAGGCACAACTTATACTCGGATCAACTTATACTCGAGACTTTAGGGTACTTGATATTTATCATTCTTTATTGAATAATAATAGTTTAAACCTTAATTTTAATAAAATACATTCTTAGAACTTAACATATCAGTAGATTTTCTTTTATGAATACTATTTTAAATGTCGAAGTTCACCGATTGAAAGGATAAAGCTCTAAATTACCTACCTGACACTAACAAGCCATTTCTCGGCAGTTCAAACCAAAAACGTTCAGCGTTTCTAGGCTTTCCCTCCATTTTTTCTATAAATAAAACTTTAATATAATTTATTCACACAAATAATTTAGTACAAATAATATACAAGCACAATCCCTGAGCCCTGTAGGGCTCAGGAAAAAAAGATTTATCGAAAAAAACCAAAACCATAGCCAGCGAGATTGAACTCTCGAGGTACCGACTCAGATGCAGCGCTCTTAGCCAGTTGGCCATGGCAGTCATAGACGGCTTTCTTTTTTTTGGCTAATCAACCAGTATCCTTTCCAAATGTATAATGACAATAAAAGCAAGATGAAGATCCAGATTCCAAAGACGATTTCTTTCATTATCTTCTCCCTAGCTTAAGATTGTTTAATTTCAAATCAAACAAATCTTTATTTGAATTTCTTTTATAAGCTATACTTGTCCAAAGGTTTCTTCATGAACAATGATATATATTAGTTACTATCAAGATCTGTTTAGGTTGAAAACGATCCTTCTCTTCAATCTGAAGACCGAGTTATGCTAATCCCTGACATTCTTCTAAAGGTTTTAGAAGGGAATTTAAAAGAAGTAGGTTATAGAAACATTGTTTAATTTCAAATCAAACAAACCTTTATTTGAATTTCTTTTATTTCTCACTTTCACTGTATTCATTTTCATTGTTTCTTGAATTTTAAGATCTTTAAATAATCAATAAACACTTAAGATTTACTTCAATTCTTTGAAAGAAAGTTTATTCAGCAAAAATCAATAAAATAATCAAGATCTTTGAATGGGAAATACTTTATTTTCCGACACCACCACCGGCGATTGGCACTAAAATTTTAGATAAAGAGTTCGCAATGATTCATAGTTAACTTAACTAACTTAATTAACTTAATTAACTTAATTAACTTGGTTAATCCTTTTTTGAAGTCAAAAACTTTCTGTAACAGTCAGTTTGAGTTTGATAGAATTCTTCTTATTCTAAATCTTTGAGCAGAGAGCTAAAGCTGATTTGAAAAACTTTTCAAGCTAACTGTACCCTCAATTTAGTCAAACTATACTGTTAAACTGTTAGATAAAGAATTGACAATGATTCAAAGTTCATTTTACCAAGTTAAAAACTTTCTGTAACAGTTTGAGTTTTGTAGAATTTTTCTTATTCTAAGAAATCTTTGAACAGAGAACTAAAGCTGATTTGAAAAACTTTTCATGCTAACTGTACCCTCAATTTAATCAAACTATACTGTTAATCATAAATTTTCAATATTTTTAAGAAAATAGTAGCATTGAAATGTATTGTCTTGTTAATTATGAGCTTTTGAAACTCACATGAGCATGAGATGAGACATTGAGGGAAACGGGTGAAAACTTGCACTCTCGCATACTCACAACCCCAGAACATAGCTGCCTAAATAAATGAAAAAGTTTTTTCAATTATAGCTGGCATAATTGCAAAACTTACTTGATTTGTCTTTCCGCATTGTCGACCAAAGTAGTCCTCATTGCAGCCCAGCATGTTGTTGGCTTGGCTGAAATGGTTTCAACGTTGAGAGCTTGATAGGGAATTGGGAATTGGACTTAAGAATTGAAAAAAGTTTAAAACTGACAAACACGCATCGCCGGGTGTTACTTTAACGATGGATTCCCAAGCTTGTCGACACGATCTAATCGTTGAACCGAAATTTTGCCACGTTGCCTGGAAACAAGCGTCGTTCAAAGCGGCAACTGAAATTTGATTTTATCTTTAGGTTTTATCGTTAGATACTTTTAACTTTAGATTTTACGGATCTTTACGGTTTCCGGAGACTGGGGATCGAGCGATTATTTGGGGCAGGGGGACGAGTTTTTGACCATTTTCCAGCCCGATTTTAGATAGTTTTTCTATTAAAAAGCTTGATGAAATAAATAGTTCCTGAAAGCTGACGTTCGAAGCTATCTAAATCTTATTAAAACTTCTTGATCTGACAAGTTTAAAGTGCTTAAAAATGAGCTGCAAGTTGGCCAAAAAATTGACCGCCACCCGTTAACCGTAAAACACTGATTTTACCTTTAGATTTTACCTTTACTTTTTTAATACATTAACAATTGCCTAATTGAGTTGATTAGTGCGTAAACTTATACCATCTGGTGCACTAAAATCTTTCTTGTAATACCCAAAATAATTCTTAATTCCGAGGAAAGTTGGGGAAAACAAAAAACTTGAAACCGAATACAAATCACCTTTCCAGCCCCATTTTAGATAGTTTTTCTATTAAAAATCTTGATGAAATGAATAGTTTCTGAAAGCTAACGTTCTAAGCTATCTAAATCTTATTAAAACTTCTTGATCTGACAAGTTTAAAGTGCTTAAAAATGAGCTGCAAGTTGGCCAAAAGTTGCCCCCTCCCCCCTCCGTTAACACCGTTTTTACCTTTAGATACTTTTCTATTACACTAACAATTGCTTAATTGAGTTGATTAGTGCGTAAACTTATACCATCTGGTGCACTAAAATCTTTATAACCAAAATAATTCTTAACCCAGAGGAAAGACCAGTTTGGGTAAAAAAAAGCTCAAAACCGAATCGAAATCACCTTGAAGTCCAGCTCCGCATACGTAATGCATTTCATTAAAGATCGACGAGAAAATGTAGGCCTAGAAATTTCTAAAGCAGTCATATTTGACAAAAGCTTCTTTATTTACATTATCGACTTCAGCTGCACCGGCCTGGATATAGTGAGCGGCTGAAGTGCACACTGTGTAGTTACCCCCCAAACAGTTCTTGAACTCCCGAAAGGCTCTGCAATTCGATTTTCGTAGAAGATTTGTATATAAAGCAAGTACAAGACTATTTGCAAAATAGAAACTAGATCTTCCACAAAAAAATTGAATTTAAAAGCCCACTTGCAAACGACACGAGTCCCATTGAAACCACTGCGGAAATATTTCTCAACCTGAATACACATTTTATATACCTAATTTTAAAACTTATAAAAAACCATTGTAAGTTTGACTTACATTACTGGACAATGGAATATGATATTTGAAAAACGATCGTCACTTTCGCGCGTGTGTAACTCCCTTGTCTTTACCGTATTTCTAAATATTAATATTACCATTGTGTAGCCCTTGAAAAGAGCTTTCAGAAAATGCATAACACCAATAGTTTAAACTTAAAGACAAGGGAGTTACAGACACGCGAAAGTGACGATCGTTTTTCAAATATCATATTTTATTGTCCAGTACTGTATAAATAAAATTGTACGTAAATCTAATCTAATCTAAGACTCACATCATCTCTCCAGAGAGCCGGATTGCGCCACGGTTGTGTGTTGTTGATTTGAAGTGCGCCGTTGAGAGTTGTCTGACAGGTTGAGTACAGACCATCATCGCACTTGCTTTGACCCCATACGCTACCTAAAAGCAAAGAAGTTTTGTAAGAAAAACCTGAGAATTTAAATGTTAGCTAATAGTAAGAGATGATTGGTCATCTACCCATATCCCTTTCAAGCTTATCTTCGATTCAATTCAATTTTAACAAGTTTGCAACTTATTTGGTTGATTTAAAGTTTAGATTATGAATCTCCAGACTCGATTTAGTAAGATGTATGTGATTTGGAAACAGAATTTCGTGCCTCTTGCCAGAACAGAAACAGAAGTTCTTGCCTTTCCCTTTCCATTGCTTTAAAAAAGCCAGATATTTGCAGAGACTTAGGTTCCATCTACAAGAGTTAGCTTAAAAATTTGCAGAAAGATTTTTCAAGTACCGTAATTATTCTAATAGAAGCACCACCCTATAATGACGATCGGAGCGTCACATAGTCTAACTTTAAGCGCCTCGTTCTCAGCGTGCTTTTATACTACAGTGTGCGCTTAGGTATCAAAAGATAGCACCAAATCTCAGCTAGATTTTAACACAAAGCATACCTTTAAAATATAGGCGCTTAGGAAAAAATGAACTAATGAAATTGCGACTACGTGACTGTACGGAGAGGATGCTTCTATTAAAATGATTACGGTATTTATGACTGGCGACGATTGTTTACTGATAGAACTGGTAAGCTTATGTTCTAAGAGTTGTTCCAAAGAGCCAAAACCAAGTTTGTCTTTGATATTTTGCATTTGGCTTAACAAGCCAGATATTTTACAAAAGCCTATGTTCCAGGTACAAGAATTAGTTTGAAAATTTGCAAGAAGAGCATTTTCTTTATTTTCTCATGATAAGATTAATGAATCGATTTTAGATAAAGTTACAATACTCACCGATTACAGTAGCGATGATGAGCAAGACGTGTGAAAGCATGTGGATGAGTATGGAGATGAAGATCTCCTCTCGAATCCTTTGCAAAAGAAGAGTCTCTCAGAGTCTCACTTCTTGTTTCCCCCCACACTCCACAAAGTCAAAAAAGAGATAAGAATTGTAGAAAAGGGCGGCAGAGTCGGAAGAGACCCTCTCCCTCGTTAAAATCGGCCATTAACGACTTTTTGAGAAGAGTTGTCTTTTTTCTACACTCAGCCACGCATCTCCCAATCACTAGTCGATTTTTAGATGGCCGACGCCCTGAAATAGACAAGAAGTGGGAATTTTTTTGTAAAAGTGATGTGATAGTGATGATTCTTGGGATTACGGTAGTTAAGTTTAATGTTCTAGTGACTCACAACTTTAGCTTTTCTTTTCTTCTCAGCTTTTAGTTGATTTGAAAGGCCATTACCATTTTGCTAGAGCTTAAAACCAGGTTTAACCATTGTGTTCTAACAAACGCAAGCTTTCTAGCGCTTGCAATTGAAAACTTAAAGTACATATCAAAGATCAAAATGGTTGCTATGGTTGATTGGCTAAGTTCTTTGTAGTTGGAGAGTCAAGGGTTCAATCCCAGACAAGGGTTCAATCCCAGGTTCAATCCCAGTCAAGGGTTCAATCCCAGTCAAGGGTTCAATCCCAGGTCCCAGGTTATTGGTTCTCTTTTGGATTTCCCTTAACCCATAAAGGATTGGCATAAAACTCTAGTTTGGAAAAAAAAGCTGAATAAACTGTTTACAATGAAATCCTAATTGTTAAAAGATTCTTTTTGAATCTAGTAAAGCCCCTTCAATGTCTTTCTTTCTAAAAAGATTTTCTTGAAAAATCGACTCATTTGGACCGCACCCACTCCTTCCCTTTCTTCTTGTTCTTCTTGTTCTTGTTCTTCTTCTTCTTCTTCTCCTTCTTCACTACTCCCAGCTATTCTCTTTTCGCACCCCTTTCTACACTCACTTATCAAAATGCAATAAACATTTATGTTTTTGCTCTTTCAAAAATTTCACGACTTTCAATGGAGTATTTTCGTGGCGTTTATGCTTTTCTTTGCGTAGTTGTGATTCATTGATTTGTGATGTGGGAATTTTAAGAGTAAATTTTTATTTTCAACGACAGAAAGCTCAAGAAAGTTGAATTAAATAGTTGATTGATTGACCGAGAAGTTGATTGATTTGTTTATTGCACTGGGTTGACTGAAATTACATTCATCTTGTAGCTAAGTTTTAAGAAAGTGACTCGATTTCATCGTAATTTATGAATCAATACCATTAAATCTCTAGTTTTTACTATTAAAAACAAGAAACCTAGAGAAATAACTCTATTTAAAACTCACGTGTGCAAAAATTCTGCGTACAATGCGGGTAATAGGTGGCCGTTCCCATTCTCTCGTACTCACAACCCCACCAACCAGCAGATCGACCACAACTCATGAACGTTGTTTGATAGCATAAAGCAGCTGTTGCTGCGTATCTAAAATATTAATGAATAGATTAGAAATATTAGAAAGAAGGGCAACTTTATTAAATTTATTAATGAACTCGTCATTTCTTTGAAGCAACGCATAAGACCCAACGCTTTCGGCCATGAAATACTTGTGGGTATAGCTCATTGGTAGAGTGTGGGCTTGGGAAGCAAGCAGGGTCCGAGTCGGTCGCGGGGTTCGAATCCCGGCTCGGTTTTTTTGAATCCCTAACCAAAGGACCGATGCTAAAATATTTCTTAATCAACTGGATCAAATGCTAAAATATTTCCTACCCATTTAGACAATCTTCAGCTCAATCATTGTGATGAATGATTGACTAACTTTATCACCATTTTACTTGTTTTGTTTGAGTAAAACTTGTTTGATTGGAGAAGGCTGATAGCTGCTAGCCGTAACTGAGCTGATAGCCGTAACTGACTTTAATAGACTTAATAGAACAAGTAGAATGCAGAGAATCATTATTACAAGTAAAAGAATAATACAAAAACATTTTGCTGTTTTAGCTAAACTCACGTGCACACATTTGTCGGATCATTGGCGACATTTGAAGCGAAATCGCTTTGACATTGATTCAATTGAGTTTTTGTAGCGTTTGAGCCGAAAATCCCCGCCGCACAGACGTCAACATTAGCAAAAACTAGAGAAATCTCATGCAAATGAAATCTTGCAATCATCATCTTTCAATTCTTTCATTTACCTGAAAATCCTGCTCCACAAGCGAAATCGAACTGATTCATCAGTTTTTGATAGCCGATTGCCTGAAAGTTTATTATATAGCTGAATTTACATACCGTAAATACTGTAATAGTACCCCACCCCCCTCGTACAGTCGCGTAGTCGCAAAAGTTTTTTAGTATTTCATTTTTTTCAAAGCGCCCATACTTTCAAAAAATGCGTCTTTGATATCAAAAAATAGCTGAAATTCAGGGCTATTTTTTGCTACCTAAGCGCGCATTGTAGCATAAACCAGTGTCGAGAAAAATTCGTTCAAAGCTAGACTACGCAACCCTCCGCACCGTCATTATGGGGGTGGGGTACTATTACAGTATTTACGGTAAATATAGAAATTCATAGCAATGTTGATATCAATAAAAATGTATTATTTAATGATTTATTCCTAAGCTTGTTCTATAAAGCTTCAAACTTGAGCCATTGTGATTCCAGTAGCTGTGCCGTTTTGCGTGGCCACTAAACCAACTGGACCGAAGAAACAAGCCTCATAATCTTCCATTTTACTAAATTTTTAGTTAAATCATGAAAACGATTGAAATTTTCAACTTTTACTCACTTGAAGCCAACTTTAATGCCTTTGAAAGCATTGCAAACCGATGAGAGACCAGGGATCCCTGTTCTTGCCCAAACACCTTCCACAGCCATTCTCAATTGTTCATACGTTTTCACGCCCAAGTTAGCTAAAAGATTTTTCAAGTATCGTAATTATTCTAACAGAAGCACCACCTAATGACGGTCGGAGCGTCACGTAGTCTAACTTTAAGCGCCTCGTTCTCAGCGCCTTTTTATACTACAGTGTGCGCTTAGGTATCAAACGATAGCCCCAAATCTCAGCTAGATTTTAACACAAAACATACATTTAAAATATAGGCGCTTAGAAAAAAATGAATTACGGAAATTGCGACTACGCGAATGTACGGAGAGGATGCTTCTATTAAAATAATTACGGTATTTATGACTGGTGATGATTGTTTACTGATAGAACTCTAAAGCTTATGTTCTAAGAGTTATTCCAAAGAGCCAAAGCCAAGTTTGTCTTTGATTTCGTCTGGAAATCACTAGAAATAACCTTTATTACTTTTTTTTGCACAATTTTAAACCCACGAGTGATTCCAAGAGCATCGTTGAATGCGGCTTGCACTTGGTTTAGCCTTTGTCCATCACAAGATTGATAGGTTGGTGGTCGAAATTGGGCGATTGATGTGCCTAAAAGAAAAATGTTAAATCAGTTATTTCAAAACTGTTAATCGATTCACTTTTGCTCCTTTCCAAGAGCTATTTTACAAGAGGATTTACTTGATTCTAAAGAGTGATTGGCAAGTCTTAGATGATTAACTTGGTAAACTCTTTTACAAGTTATAAAGAGAAAATTAGACTGTAGCTAAGCTCTATAGCTAGCTTATTTTACAGAAAAGGAATAGAAAAGTTGGTTGTGAGTTGGTTGAAAAGATCTGTAAAAGAAATTGTTAATGATTTTCCAGAATATCAAAAGATTTAGACTTAGAAAAAGAAAGAATAAGATCTAATAAGTTTATAGAAGATTCAGAAAGGAGTTTAAGTTTAAGAAGATTCAGAAAAGAGTTTAAGAAGTTTAAGAAGATTCAGAAAGGAGTTTAAGTTTAAGAAGATTCAGAAAGGAGTTTAAGAAGTTTAAGAAGACTCAGAAGAGAGTTTAAGAGGTTTAAGAAGACTCAGAAGAGAGTTTAAGAAGTTTAAGAAGACTCAGAAGAGAGTTTAAGAGGTTTAAGAAGATTCAGAAGATTTAGAAAGACAAAACTTAAAAGAAAAAAGGAAAGTTTAAGGAAAAAAACAAGTATTTCTTGATTCATTTACAGTAATCTTTACTAAATCCAATAAAGAGTTAAATGAAAAAAAAAATCGATAATGACAAACCGAGGAGAAGGAGAAGGCCAATCCATGAGGCCATCATGTCGATGGATCGTTTTTCGGTAGTGGGAGAAAAGCCTTCCTTCCTTCCTTCCTTCCTTCACTTCAATCCTTTCACCTCTTCTTCACTTTCTGCCTCCCTTTTTCCTTTCCAAAGCGCTCCCTTATCGTTGATTCCTTCTCCCCAAAATTATTGGCATTTTAGTACCCGTCGCCACGCATCTCTTCTAAGATTTTTTAAAACTCAAAACAGTTTTCAAGGCTTTCAAGTGAGTGATGCGATGGGGAGCGGCTTTTTTTGTAAATTTGAACCAGACAGTTTCTGTGGTTATTTTTCTTTTCAAATAGTTATTAAAATAGAAATAGAAATAGTTTATTCAACGATCAGAGAACAGAGAATTCAATGATGATCACAAATCACAAATTAACTAAAGTAGTTAAACGAAAAGATTGAAGTACTCACCGATAAATATTGAATAAACAATGTTATGTATATTAGCTAAGCGCACTTTAATTCACCATTTATAGTATTTGCACTAAATACAGCGTTTCATTTAGTTGATGGGAGATTCAGATGAAAGCGCCGATTTTCACTGATGATCTGATGACGTCACCATTGACGAAATGATCACAATCAATGACAAGAAAGAGAACAAAGCGTACTATTGTTTAAATTTATTGTATGCATTAGAAAATGAGTGGTAAACTGAAGATCATTGAACTTAATCAAAGCTATTGATTGACTGCACGTGTGGCTTAAGATTTACCTATTTTTTAGAGTTTGCAAATTAAACTGGGGTACTAGAAGCGTGGATTGGCTTGAAAATGATAAATTTGCAGTCATTTTGTCCTTTTTTCAACAATAACTGAGTATTTTTATGTCTTTCGTGTACATTAAACTTTTCAGAAAACCAAGTATCACCAGATTTTCTATCAATGGGAGTGAACAAGTGTACAACTACTCAAATTTGGCAGTTGGACAACTGGAAAACGATTGAGAAAACGAATCTTGTGTTCATTTTTAAAATCCCGAGCTTTTTTTCTTATAACATCTTTTTATTTATTTTTTTTTCAAGAATTCAATTTACGACCAAAAATTTGGTTGATCGTCGTGATGGTCGATTTCCTCAAAGCGATTCTTCGCTTCCGCAGACAAAACATGCAGATTATGCTGAAAATTGGTAAATAAAATTTCTTTGTAACATTAACATACAAGTTTCTATCTTTCTCTGTCCCGTTGTAGTTTAAAAAGCAAAAATGAAATCTTTCGTGATAAAATGGAAATTAGATGTGACTGAAAATAGTCATGAGATGGAAAAACGTTTAATTGGAGCGGGTGTGGTCATTGAGATGCAAGAATTTTAGCTTAATTACCTCTGTTTTTGTTTGACTCAGATAAATATCAAATGAAAAACATAACGGGATTCAACTAGACTTCAATTAGGCCTCAATTAGACTAGTCTAGTTTTTCGATTTCAAAAATCTCACCTTGAAATAAGATTGAAAAGAAGAACTTGGATGAAATCGTTGAGACTATCGAAAATCGAGTGAAATTCTCGTCCAAAAAAGAGATTTGTGATGATGACGACAATATTGGCAAAGATGTAATTGACAAGAATAATGAAAGAAAATCCGAGCATCTAGAAAGAAATGAAGAGATTAGGTGAACATTTATAATATTTATAATATTGAAAGGTAAGTTCTGCCCGTTTTTTTTTTTGGGAGAGCTTCTTAAACTCAACCAATCTACACATGTTATAGCATATTCGAAAGCTGAATTCAAGGCGAAAAAAGGGAAAAAAACCGTTTTTGATTACATACAGTTTTGAAGTTTTTACAGGCCTTTTAATGAGTTCAGTCAGACCGAAAAGAGTGTAGAAATTGCGTTTCAATAGTTTTTTGTTTGGCAACATAGGCTAAAAACACGTTATTCGTACTCAGCGCGTTAAATTACCCTTAGAAACTCATTTTTAAGATTTTTGCATAAAAAAGGTCTAAATTTTTGTCGCGAGCCGGAATCGAACCCTCGACCTTTTGGGTAGTAGCCGTCGCGCCGTTTTTTGCTCGTTTTCTCGTTTTTTTATTGTTATTTTTTAGGTAAAAGGTGTAGACAAAGGAAGAAAGCAAAGAAAATGGGCAAAAGACTCGAAAGACCAAAAAAAAACTCGAACCCGGGCAAAAAATTCTGGAGGCAAGCACACTATCCATCGCGCAACTAGCTCTAGATTTAGGAAAGATAGAAAAAGCTTATAAGAACCCCGAAAATCGGTCTAAACTTTAATACCAGATATCTCGCGTTACAGAGCTCTATTGGAAAAAGTGAAAGCAGATTCAGAATCAGCATAGTCGTTTCTATAAATGATCTCATATCAAAGGGCCACCTTGACCTAGTGCCTTTCCCTAATTAGTATAGAAAGCCAGGCAAAGACAAACAAAACCGAGTCAGGTCAGTCAAGTCAGGTGTATTAGTCAGGCCTATTAGTCATATTAGTCTTATTTGATCGACTACGCAAAAGTTTCGATCAAATATGTCTAATATGCCTCTTGGGATTTCAAAAATGATCAGAAAAAGATCAGAAACTCTGAAATTTTAGGGCTTCATTTTTACATTTACATCAAATTTTCATTGAATTCTGCATGTCGTCTTTTTCGGCTTTGTTTCGACAAAAGTTTAGAGATCTTATAATTGCTTTAATGATATCGATAACAATGATGGGTTTGTTTAGGAGTTTTGTCTGTAAACTGATCTTGAAACGTTTTCTGTATTGATAAAGAAAAGAATAGACTATTTTTTTGACTAGAAGCCTTTTTCTAATGAAAAAGTACAGTACCTCAAATGATTTCTAAGTTCAAACCACCAAATCTGTATCTTATTGATTTTTGTTTTCAAAATTTTGACTCAAGGTTCAAGAGTTGCATAGCTCATAGAAAATGTAGCTGTAGCTGTAGCTGTAGCTGAAGCTGATACTGAAGCTGTAGCTGTAGCTGAAGCTGTGGCTGTAGCTGAAGCTGTGGCTGTAGCTGTAGCTGAAGCTGTGGCTGTAGCTGAAGCTGTGGCTGTAGCTGAAGCTGTGGCTGTAGCTGAAGCTGTGGCTGTAGCTGTAGCTGAAGCTGTGGCTGTAGCTGAAGCTGTAGCTGTAGCTGAAGCTGTGGCTGTAGCTGAAGCTGAAGCTGTGGCTGTAGCTGAAGCTGTGGCTGTAGCTGAAGCTGTGGCTGTAGCTGTAGCTGAAGCTGTGGCTGTAGCTGAAGCTGTGGCTGTAGCTGTAGCTGTATTACTGTAGCTTTTTTGAAAAGGTTTTATGATTACGGTAGTTTTTTTCCTGAAGTGATTACTCTGGAGAGTATCTTTTAGAAAACAAATTCAAAAAAACATCATCAGTTAGAAATATTCTTGTTAAGAAGACTTGCAATGATCTGTTTTCACTTTTAGTCATTGCAAGTCTCCTTTCATTGATTGCCAATCAAAATTGGCAATTAGTGGACGATAATGGTGAAGAAGTCGAAAACGAAACCAATCTAAACACAACTGTTTATGTTGATCCGAATGACGAGCTGAATCTCAATGTCACTGATCCTTTTTCAACGATCACTTTTGGGGTTATTTGCAATTTCTCTACAATAATCAACTTTTTATAGGCGCTTATTCTAAGCTTACTCACTACATCATTGGCAGCCTTTTTCTCAGCAAGCAATCATCATTTATCGTGCCCAATTCGGTAAGCGCTGAATTTGTTAATCGGATTCATTATCATCAATTGCAAATGTACCTCTCGAGCAAGCAAGAGCAATTGTTCAAATAAGTTTTATTACTTTTCTATGCTTTTGAAAGTTAATAATTTTAGTAACTGCTAACTAAAATCTTCGAAATCTAGCAAAGAATCAAAAACTTAAAAAAGCGGAAAAATCTAGCTTAAGTGGGGTCGAACTTGCCGCCTAAAGGGCTATTCGCCTTCGAGACAAGCGTGTAAGCCACTCAGCTATCCCTGACATTGGCCCCCGGCTTCGAAACGGGTTTTATAAAGCAATCACAAGAAAAGAATGCACTTTAATGACTAGATCTTCTTAAAATTTAAAAAATTGACTCAAGAATTTGGACATATTTCATAGGCTTCGTTTGACACGTTTTTCAATGTACTTTTTGAAATCAAACGTGCATATTACCCTTTTGTAAATTTTTAACCCAATTCAGTCAATTCCAAGCATCTTTCAGCCTATTGGCCACCGCAGAAAATCTAAACAAATTCATCTATGCATTGTGCTATTTTCTAGCTCAAATATGTGACCAACCCTGGGTATCAGTGAGGTATCTTTTTCAAAAGTTAATTTAATATTACCTTACTTTTCCAGTTGTACTGATACGATAAGCAAAACATTTTCAACCATTTACTCAATCGCTGATGAATACAACCTTTGCGACATTGCTCAATATTGTCAGTGCTTGATTTCGATTAGGTAAACCTTAACTGAAATCTTGTCAAATTTTTCTTTCTTCAGTCGTTTTATGGCCTTATCGTTTAACGGAATCTATTTTCAATATACTTTAAAATGGCCGCTTTTTCAACTCGTATTTCCCTATATTCTTCGTGCCATTATCACAATGCTAAAATGGCCGATTGCTGATGCGACACGGCTTTCGTTTTTTTGGATCCTTTGGCAATCTATTCGATTGTTTCCCTATTTTCTTATATGTGGGCTTGACTTTGTGACGAATCGAAAAATGGATTCGGTGAGTGAAACAAAAAAAAACTGATTGATGATTGATGATTGATGATTGATTGAGAAATGGTTTCAGCTGAAAAGAATTGGCAAAGCTACGCAAGTCGAGCGTCTTCTAATGATACAGGTTTGATTTTCAATATGCAGTAATCAAATAGGCATAAAATAGACAGCTAGGATTAAAAAGGGCATGCTCTGGTCTGACTTTCGGTTTTGTTTTTCTTTGCCTGGCTTGCTATACTAATTAGGGAAGGGCACCAGGTCGAGGTGACCCTTTGATATGAGATCATTCATAGAATCGATTGGTTGATAGATTGGTTGAGTTTAAGAAGTTCTCCCAAAAAAACCGGGCAGAACTTACCTTTCAATATTATAAATGTTCACCTAATCTCTTCATTTCTTTCTAGATGCGCGGATTTTCTTTCATTATTCTTGTCAATTACATCTTTGCCAATATTGTCGTCATCATCACAAATCTCTTTTTTGGACGAGAATTTCACTCGATTTTCGATAGTCTCAACGATTTCATCCAAGTTCTTCTTTTCAATCTTATTTCAAGGTGAGATTTTTGAAATCGAAAAACTAGACTAGTCTAATTGAGGCCTAATTGAAGTCTAGTTGAATCCCGTTATGTTTTTCATTTGATATTTATCTGAGTCAAAGAAAAACAGAGGTAATTAAGCTAAAATTCTTGCATCTCAATGACCACACCCGCTCCAATTAAACGTTTTTCCATCTCATGACTATTTTCAGTCACATCTAATTTCCATTTTATCACGAAAGATTTCATTTTTGCTTTTTAAACTACAACGGGACAGAAAAAGATAGAAACTTGTGTGTTAATGTTACAAAGTAATCTCATTTACCAAATTTTCAGCATAATCTGCATGTTTTGTCTGCGGAAGCGAAGAATCGCTTTGAGGAAATCGACCATCACGACGATTCGCTCTAATTCAATCCGCTCTCATCTCTAATTCAATGCAAATACTTTCTTTTACAGTTCCTGAAATTCTTAGTCTTTAAATAATTAGACAAATTCAACTTTTTTTTCTATAACAGAGTTCATTTGCTGGTGCAATTTGATTGAAACGTTATTTTTTTGCTTTCTGTCTGATTTTAAAAGGGCTACTTCGTTGCATTTTAAGTGACTTTGTCATCTTTTATCTTGTACATTTTTTCATGTCGCTTTCGCACTTTATTTCTTTCTAAATAAAGTATTTATATTTAGCCCCAAAATATATTTTAAATCTGTTTTGATACTTTTCGATGTATTTTTACGATGTAACTTTATGAATTCAATTCATTTGTTTAATTTATAAAAGATCAGATGAATTTGAAACTTCAAACGGAAAGTAAAAAAAAAAACAGTCTCTTTGAACGTGTATCCAATGAGGCTTGGAACTTATGTCATTGTAGATCCAAAGCTATTCCTAATAAATGTATTATTGTATTAATAAAGAGGCAAATTCAAATCCCAAAATGAGTTGACAAGAATGACAAAAACCTTCAATGAGTAAAACCAATCATCATTCAGAAGCGGATCAATTGTCCGTCCAACTTTAGTCCTAACTTTGATATTCTAGTCCGTCTTTCTGAAGTAAACGTAATTCTTATTAAAGAGATATCCTTAGTGATCCTAAAAAGCACAACTTACACCAAGAATTCCTTTAGCTCCTCCGAAGCTCGAACAAAAAGGAATCTCGTCGGATATCGACGAGCTAGCTGATGGAACAGTGACCATCTTTTGGCCCGTTTATGGAAAACCCACTTCAACAGTCAATTGGCTCAAGGTTGTCGTCTTAGTTTTACTTGAAAACGGATTGATAACAGTTGTCAAAAGTACTTCTAGTCAAGGCTTTCATATTACTATCTCATTGAAAACCGAATTCTAGAATGGCCGTCCACTCAGCGATCAGCAGAAGATCAAAGAAACAATTGTTTGATTTGATTTACCGATCAGCTTCCTCTTTAGCTAATTTCAAGAAATAGAGCTTTTGCCCATTTGAAGTTTTGATCTTCTTTTTGATCTTCAGAAGTTTGAAGTTTTGATTTTCTGAAGATCAAAAAGAAGATCAAAACTTCAAATGGACAAAAGCTCTATTTCTTGGAATTGGCTAAAGAGGAAGCTGATCGGTAAATCAAATCAAAAAACTGTTTTAAATCAAACTGTTTTAAAACATTGTTCTTTTAACTTTCACAACAATTCAAGTACACTTGTATTGCCAAGAGTCTAGCTGGGGAAAGACAAGCGGGACTTTAATGTAAAACTTCTGGTTAAGTTCACTTTTAAACTTATCCATAGATCCATTTGATATCCCTTTCAACACTAAATTCAATAATTTGCATACTTTACAATGTCAGATTTGCGACATTCTAAAATTTCCTTTTCCAGAGGATCCCTGATGGCCCCAATCTCATGCGACGAGTTCAAACAAACGAAGGTCGATGCTAATCGAGCATTTTGACCTGTTCAGCTAGTGGATCTCCACCACCAACTATCACCTGATCTGTATTTAACTTTTATCCATTTCGTATTTTGTTTTACACTCTTTAAAAAGTGAGATTTTATTTCCATGAGATTCAAGTGAGCATCAATGAAAACTGTACAAAACAACCCGTTGCATTGTTCGTGATCAGCTTAGGCGGCACCGGAGGCACGGTTCTTCTTGTGGTGAGTGAGAGCGGCACGAGCGCGAGCAATCTTGCGGTGACGGTATCCACCGGATGGGGCAGGAGCCGGGGCAGCAGGCTCGGGGGCAACGGGCTCATCTCCGTACGAGTTCTGGGCGGGAGCTGGGGCGGGTTGGGCCTGGACCTCTTGTTGAGGAGCGGGTGCCTGGGGCTCGATGGGTGCTGGAGCGGGTGCTGGTGGGGCAGCCTCAATTGGAGCGGGGGCAGGTGGGGCAACTGATGGTTGTTGGCTGTAGACAGGCTGAGGAGCGGGTGCTGGTGGAGGAGCAAACTGCTGTGGTGGTGGAGCCGGGGCGGGGGCTGGTGGTGGGGCGAACTGCTGTGGTGGTGGGGCAGGTGGGGCGAACGATGGAGCGGCTTGGGGAGCTGGCTGAGGCGCGAATTGGGGCACTGGAGCTGGAGCGGGTGGTGGAGGGGCGAAGGCTGGTGGTGGAGCCTGTTGGGCGTATCCTCCAGCTGGGGCACCTCCGAACGATTGTTGTGGGGCTTCTCCGAACGATTGTTGTGGGGCACCTCCGAACGATTGTTGTGGGGCACCTCCAAATCCTCCCGAAGTCGCATATCCGCCTCCAGGGGCAGGTGGAGCGAAAGGAGCTTGCTGGGCGTATCCTCCTTGTGGGGGTGGTGGAGGAGCGAATTGCTGAGGAGCAGGCTGAGGAGCGAATTGCTGAGGAGCAGGCTGAGGAGCGAATTGCTGAGGAGCAGGCTGAGGAGCGAATTGCTGAGGAGCAGGCTGAGGAGCGAATTGCTGAGGAGCAGGCTGAGGAGCGAATTGCTGAGGAGCAGGCTGAGGAGCGAATTGCTGTGGAGCAGGCTGAGGAGCGAATTGTGGGGCCTGTGGGGCGTACGATTGAACGGGAGCCGGTGCTTGTTGGGCATATCCACCGCCGCCTCCTCCAAACGATTGTTGTGGAGCTCCACCGAATGATTGTTGAGGAGCAGCTCCATACCCTTGTGGGGCTCCGCCGAACGATTGTTGAGGCGCACCACCGAAGCCGCCAGCGCCAGCGTACTGGCTGAAAAGGGAAAGATTGATTGTGACTGAGTTATCTATAGGATCATTAAGAGTAAGTACTAGCTGTGAAATCCTTTACTTCACACTAGCAATGATCTAGTTGTAAGAAAGGCTTCTTAAATTAGAAGCTTCTAGTCAGTTTTGTTAGTCAGAACTGTAAGTTTCAAAATATTGAAATTGAAAAACCAACCAGTTAGCTCCAACGAGGAGTGCAGCTAGAACTGTTGCCCGGATCATTGTGCTCAAGTGCTGTTTCAGCTTCACCGCTCGCTTAAATACTCAAACCACTCATCAAATGTTGACTTGGAAGGGAAAAGAGAGATGATATTGAGAAAGAAAATCTCTCTCAATGAAATGTAAATGGGAACTCACTCGCAGAACAAAAGGCTATCAAAGGATTTTTCTTGAGATAGCCAAAGCTGAGCTTTTTTCAGGATGAGCGCACTTTGTAAGTATCAGGAAAAAGTCGGGAAATGTATGAGAATTTGGATCACGGTTATCCATTGTTATTTTGTTCAAGTGCCAAGACAATGGTGAACTGGGAAAGCGGAAAGCGGAAAGCGGGAAAGCGTAAGGCTAATTTTCTTCTTTTTTCATGAGTTTGATAGACTTGACTCTGTATTTTTGAAAAAAAATATCAATATCTTCGTTTTTCTTGAGCGTATATCACAAACAATCAAACAAAAATGATTTTAGGCTCAAAAATGGTGTTACATTGATAGCCGACCCTTGTCATATCTTTCTGAACAATGGATAACAATTGCAGATCAAATACAGTGCATTTGATTCCAGGGATTGCTTCAGCAGCAATGCTAAGGCTTAAGCATTAGCAGTTGTGCTTTTCTTTGCTTCTACAACAGTTAGCGTACTGCTTTCTAGAGATTGCTTTGCCTTATAGCTCATGTTTCACGATTGTTTTATGAACTTACAAAAAGAGCACTTGTAACTATGTCACTTTACAGTCAGATCTTCACTATGATTACAAGTATTACAAGTAGCATTGTTGAATTCACTGACTCAACTTTAGCAACACTCGAGTGAAGGATCGTGCTCGATATACGTATATGCTGTCGGATCAAATGACCTTTCCCTTAATTGAAATTTCTTTGGCTGTATTCTCTCTTTTCCTCGCAATTCCTTTGTTGCGAAAAGGAGAAAAACACTTGCTCTGTACTTGCGTTGAAAAGGATTGGAAAAAGATTACGCTTGATGTAATGGGGAAATGGGATTGAGTAGATGATTTTATGAGCTTTGACTTTTTTCCTATCCTTGAAAAGTTTTCAGGAAAATAGGGTTGAGGATTTGTTCGGTTTACTAAAGTCCACCTTGCCTTTCGGTCGTCATTCGGACATTTGATAAAATTATCAAATTCAGCTTTTAAGATAATAAAAGCCTATTCAACGCTGTATATTTTTATAAAATACTTGTAATTATAGCAAGTTTACGTTAAATTTAAGGCTTTGCAAGTAAAGATCAAATCTTTTAATTGACAAGATATTGCTAGAATCAACCTAAATATCTGGCTTGAATTTCTCTCAAAAACTGTCTGAATTTTCTAAAATTTTTAATTAAACTAACTAACTAAATTAATGAAATCAGTAGCCGTCGTAGCCGACCGGATAGGAGTCTTGTCTCCTAGTCGGGGGGTCAAAGGTTCGATCCCGGCGGCTAGAAAAATTTTTCCCATTATTATGATTTTTTTTTTCTTAACAACCTTTGGTTAATAGGGGTAATTAGGGGTAAACATTTCCTCTGTTGTGTTGTAATTCATTATTCGTGTCGAATAAATATACTTTATAAACGTAATCAGTCAAAAGCAATTGTTTTTTTTAAACTCTTCTAGACGAATAGCAAAATTTCATAGGTTATTTCTTAAACTCTTTCAAAAAAAAAGCTCAAAACACATTCCTTCAAAATTTTCCCCTTTTTGTCATTTCTCTTTCGTTTCCGAGAAACTCAATAGCTGAACAAAGAGAGCTGTTTTTGTGACCAACACATTTACAGGGTGCTCCAAAAATCTTTTCAAACTGGATTTGCTAGTTCCAAAGTAAGAAAACGTAAAACCACTACAGAAAAGTAGAAATCCCACACAATTTTAGTCTTGCCTGAATATCTTTTCTTCTCCGAATATAGTTATATGTTGTTAAAACAGGCTCATTTGGGGGTGGGACAAATGCGACCTTTTTTTGCTGGAAAAGGCCTTAGGCAAGGCCGTAGAGCTTCAAAAATGTTGTTATAGAAGGGAATCGTATGCGTAGATTCAGAATTTTGACAAATCAGACCTCGCTGACACGTCAAATTTGGGCTAAAAGGCAAAAACTGAGGAAAAGCGTTAAGTTGCGTAGTTTTTGCCTTTTAGCCCAAATTTGACGTGTCAGCGAGGTCTGATTTGTCAAAATTCTGAATCTACGCATACGATTCCCTTCTATAACAACATTTTTGAAGCTCTACGACCTTTCCTAAGGCCTTTTCCAGCAAAAAAAAGGTGCGCAAATGTCCAGGTGCGCAAAAAAAAGGTCGCATTTTTCCCACCCCCGTTCATTTCATGTCTTTTTTCTAGTCAATTTTATGTTTGTTGCTTTTTCGATTTGTTGTGAACGAGCCATCGTTCAATCTGAATCCTTTCACATTTTCGCTCTCGTTATTTGGATTCATGCAAGTATACCGTTGGGTTAAAGTCAAATACAGATGACAAATAAATTGCGGTTGTTTAAACGAAGTTTGTAGAATAAAGTAAAGGCTAGTGACAAGAGCTTTTTGGTCTATCGGAATTCTTCAGAATTTCTGGTGGCTAGAGGTGGTCGGTGGTGGTGTCATAGTCAATCATTTGTGCTCTAAATTTTTCATATTTTCTCATGAAAATCTATTCGATAAGGGTATCATGTGATTATGGTCACCACCATGAAACCATCAATAGGGTAAAATTTTAACCATAAATTGGGATTTTTCTACTGGCATATTAAAAATAATATGTAAACAAAGATTATTAACCAAACAGTTTCTTGATTAGAAGTTCCTTTTGTTGCATAAATGCTAAAAAGCTAAAGTCACTCATAAAATAAAAAGAGAAAATGAGTGAGAAAGCTTTTGATGGGCTATTAATTGTTGCAAACGCAAACGTAGCAAATTAGCAAATTAGTTTTCTTTTAGTTCTCAAGAAGAGGCTTTGAGTTTTTTCAAATTATTTCTTTTCATTTCGAAGTCTGATTTAATCTGATTTAAGCGTTGTCAAACTTTTCAAAAACATGTTTATCTCTAAATCCATAATTTTTAAAGTTATAAAACTAGTAAAGTTGACAATAAAGAATCAAGATGTATACATTATGTAGAATAAAAAAATTGTATAATATAAGATAAAAGGATCCATTTACATAACCAACTTTCAAAAATTTAATTTACATATATTTACTAAATCATCTATTATGTTAAAAGAATCTCCTAGTCTTCAAGAATGTTGAAATTTGCGGTGACAATTCCTCCAGGTCCAGCCAAATTCGTCTTTCCCATGAGATATTCATCAACTTGACGAGCAGCTTGTCGACCCTCGTGAATCGCCCAAACGACGAGAGATTGACCACGTCGACAATCACCCGCTGCGAACACCTGGAATATTTTGATGATAAGTATATTATGGTACAAATATTAGTCGTATTTATGTAGCTTCTAGTGATATATCAAGCTAATAAAAATGTTTATACACCAGAGTTTTTGTTTCTTTTTCTTCTTTGCTAACTTTAAACTAGCTTTCAACTATCTCATTCACCGTTATCAACCAACCTTGGCCATCGATGTATTGTATTTCTCCTGCGCAGTCATGATATTGCTTCTTGGATCCATCTTCAACTTCAATTGTTCAATCACTGCCTAAATTCCTTATTCTTCTTTGTTGTTTGATCTTGTTTACCTTTTCCGGTCCAACGAATCCCATTGCAAGAATGACCATATCAGCTGGTTCCACCCAAAGAGTCTCAATCTTTTCCACCATTTTCCATGCTCCTTTCTCGTCCTTCTCCCACTCGATTTCAACCACCTCTAACCCTGTCACAATCTTGATTCCAGCCGCGTTTTCTTCAGTGATGAAACGCTAAATCAAAAGTTTTAGCGAGACTTTGGCTTTCAATATTTCTATCTTGATCCGTCTAGATAAGAAAAACATTTATTCACGCGAATAATGTGGTACAAACAATACACAAGCACAACCTGAGCCTGGCCTAAGCCTGCGCACTCAACCACTAAGCCCTAGGGGAAAAAAGAACCAATAATCTAGCCGGCGGGTTGAACCCTCGACCTCGATTAAGCTTCAGGGTTCTTCGCCAGTCAGCCATGTCGGCCATAAAAGACAGCTATAGTAGCTGCAAGTTGAATTTCAATCGATCTCACCTTTGTTGACACCGAGTATGTCCTTGGATCCTTTCCTTGGATACTTTTTGCCTCATCATGTCCATAATCAACTCGGAAAATCAACGGCCATTCGGGCCAGGGATTTTCGGCTTTGCGGAGCTCTCCTGGTTGAGGAAGAATTTCGAAAGCTGTCACGGATTTGGCGCCCTGAAATGTGAAAATATTAAAGGTCAAGCATTTCAGAGTAGAGTACAATACATAGTACCATAGAAGAGGGCCAACCATTCTCAAACAGGTTCCAATACAATCAGTCGCCGTGTCTCCTCCGCCCAACACAATAATTCTCTTGTCTTTTGCATCCATTCCATCCCAAGGAAGCTGGAAAATTCAAATTTTATAAACAGGGCCAAGCTAGCTTTTTAGAATAACTGCTTACCTCATCACCAGCTCTCCTTCTTTGTTGTCTTTCCAAGAATTGCATGGCAAAGTAGATTCCCTTTGCATCCCTTCCCTCGCATGGAAGATCTCTAGCAGTCGTTGAACCAGTGCAAACAACAATTGCATCGTTTTCCTGTAAAGCGATTTGGAGTTGGTACTCCATATCTCAACCCACCTTGAGCAAGAAATCGGCCGGCACATCTCTTCCAATCTCCGTATTTGCCAAGAATCTCACACCCTCTTCTTCTAAAAGCTTCACTCGGCGATCAACGACAAATTTATCGAGCTTCATTGTTGGAATCCCGTATCGCAACAGGCCACCTACTCGATTTTTCCTCTCATACACAACCACAGTGTGCCCAACTTTGATCAGTTGAGCTGCAGCTGCCAAACCTAAACGGAAATTTGATTTAAAATTTATAATTTCTACCAGATGGTCCAGATCCAATGATTGCCACTCTTTTCCCAGTGTTGTGCTCCGGTTTACAAGGTTGAATCCAATTTTGCATGAAGGCGTAGTCAATGATTGCGCATTCGATTGATTTAATGGTCACTGCTGGAGATCCGATAGCCAAACAACAAGCACCCTAACAAAAAGATTGATAAGTTGAATATGATTGAATATGTTTGACTCTCAGATTTCTCTACATGGTTTGCTCTGTAGCTAAAACTGTAATAAAGTAAAGAAATGATTCGTAAAGAATTGTTCTATAGCTACAACTATGTAAGTCTTTATATGCAGCCCTCTTAGATGTTCATAAAATGTTTACCTCACACGGAGCTGGACAAACTCTTCCGGTGAACTCGGGGAAGTTGTTAGTCTGCAAGAGTTGTTCCAGCGCTTGTCTCCAGTTCTTTTTGAAGACATAATCGTTCCATTTAGGGATGATGTTGCCAAGTGGGCAACCAGTGTGCCCTTGACAGAATGGCACACCGCAGTCCATGCATCTAAAGAGAAGTTGACCTTGTTCATTAGCTTATCGACAAACCTGGCCGCTTGCTCTCGGATATTTGATCGAATCGCTTCATAATCGGCCACCTCATCCCAATCTTTCAGTCTCTCACTCGGGTCTCGATAGAGCTTTTTCTGGCGGCGATACTGAACATTAAAATTAGAATGTTCCCGAATGCTTTTCGGCTGCCAACCTTGACAAATCCCCTCAATTTATCTAACTCCTCATCATCGTCTTTCTTCTTCAAATGATTCGGCAACCCAATTCCCTCGATGTCAACGGTGGTCGTGAGTTTCTTCTTGAACTCAACCATCTGAAAATTAAGATTGACAAGTTCAATGCTAAATCTTATCATCAAAGCAAATTACCAAAGTCATGTCCTATTCTGCACTAACCTCATCATCGGATCTTGATCCTTCTGAATTGTCCTCATCCGCGTCAAAGACTGCATCTTGAATGTCCACCTGAAAAAAATGACAATAAATTCAAGTCCTAGAAGAACAAAATGAGAACGATTATAACCATTATAACTCATTTTCATTTAGGCTGTTGAAATCTGGTTCAACAAAGGCTGCTGTGGTCATTTTCTTTGTCACTGACCTCTTTCTCGAATCCCGCAATATCAATAGGCCGAAGCGATTTGGAGACCTTTCGCCTTCTCGATGTTGAAGTCTAAATAAAAATTTTTACATTAAATTTTAAAAGCTTGTAAAGCTGGCTATAAACATCGACTTTTGAATTAAAGGTCCTAAATGAACGATGAGGCAACAAAGGGATTTGAATATTGGAAAGTAAAGAACCTGTTTGATAAGGCCAGAAATCTAAAAATGATATTTAAAAAAATATACCTAATTAAGCATTAAAGTTAAAGTTCTTGCAAAAATTCATATTGCTTACTTTTCTGATCGGTTTCTTTTTTCGATCATCGTGATGAACGGCGATTTGCATGTCCATTGAGAGAGCTCTTTCACGGGCGCTTCCATTGATTGAAAGCTGAAGTTGACTTTTTATTTGAACATTAACATATTAACATAAACAAGTTAACTTTTTAAGTGTTTATTTTAAATCTAAGATAGTTTTTCATTGTTGAAACCCCTATCATACCCTGTTCATCTCCTCCAAATCGCGTTTCTCTTGTATCGCCTTCTGCCGCTCAGCCTCTTGCTCTTTCAGCACCCGTTTGTAATCTTTTGGGAAAACCTAAAATCATTTTAAGTTATAAATTTGAATTTAAAGAATTCACTGACCTTGACGATATTTCTGTGCTCAACTTGCCACTCGTCGAGAATCTTTTGACCAAGTGTTGAGCCAGTCAAACGAACAAACTCGGAGACTTTCGTTCGCACATAACTAAACTTACAAATATAAACGTCAAGAATATTTATTTATTGATTATTTTATATAAAAATATCTAGATTTTCGTTTTTATATCAAACTAACATCAAATCCTCATCAGTCGCCTCATCAAGATCAATCGTGGCGGTGTTCATTCGACGAACCGTAAGCTCATCACTAAAGTAGAACAATTTAAAATTTTAATAAAATAGCATATAGTATAAGCTTAGTAAATGCATTATTCAAAAATTCTATAACAACTTTTTACAACTCACTGGCTAAAGACGTAAGCAATTCCTCCACTCATCGCTGCCGCAAAGTTTCTTCCAATTGAGCCAAGGATGATCACTCTGCAATTTGATAAATGAATTTACCGTATTTACTCTATTAGTGGGGTCCCCCACTATTTTTTCAATCCCCTTCCAGACGACCCCACTATTAGAGAAATTTAAAAGAACATAAAACCAAAGTTTTAAATTGAAAAGATATCAATTTTTCTCCGAAATTCTTGACAAAACAAGTTTGGCTTCATATTTTATTTAGCTTTAACCGTAACAAAACATTAACAAACAGTAAAAGAACTAATCCAAGAGATCAACAATTGATGTATCACTTTCGTTACCAATATCTTCTTCCAATTCGAGAGGACCCCACTATTTTTTCAACCCCCCTCCAGACGACCCCACTATTAGAGAGGACCCCACTAATAGAGTAAATACGGTAATATCAGATCAATTTGATCTACTAGATTTTATTTTAAACACTGTCTCACCTTCCCCCCGTCATATACTCACAACCATGATCTCCGACTCCTTCCACAACGGCCTCGGCTCCAGAATTTCTCACCGCAAACCTTTCACCAGCCATTCCACGGAAGAATGCTTCTCCTGAACAAGTTTTTTAAAATAGTTAAGGCTCATAGCTTCTTAAATAACCAATTACTTGCTAAAAAGTACAAGGTTATCGAAAATTTGATACGCGCCGCCCCTTTTGCCATTGACAATCTAACTTTGAGCTCATCTCTTGGTGTTGGGCTTTTCAATTTTAATCTTCTTGGTATCATTGGATGCACCAAGTCTTTCTCTGTCGATTGGCATAAAAACTATTTGAATTGAACAGCCCAACACCAAGGTATTTGAGCTCAACGTTAGATTGTCAATGGTAAAAGGGGCGGGGCGCGTATTAAATGTCCCAAAATTCAAGTACAACACTAACCTGAAGTAGCTCCATACAACGCCACATTGCCAATAATGCTGTTCTCTTGACTTTTGAATCTAGCTTCTTTTGGTGGAAAGATGACAACTTTTCCTCCAGAGAGACATTTTCCAACATAATCGTTTGCGTCTCCTTCCAGCGTTAAGGTAACACCTAAATTTAAATAGATTTATTCAGTTTTAAATGAATAAATTTCAATAAATTTCAATAGATTTATTCAATTTCAATCACCTTTTGCTAGAAAAGCGCCGAATGATTGCCCAGCTGACCCTTTGAGGTTCAACTCAATCCCTCGACCATTGCTCAATCCTTCTTCGTCGTATCGTTTTGAAATCTGAATTTTGACATTATTTTATTTTAATCATGATCACCTCGTAGCTGATTCTTGTCCCGAAAGCACGATCGTGATTCGAAATGATCAAATTGTCGAACTTCTTGGTAATTCCTTTCTCGAAAACATCACCCAATTGATCGATGATCTTGCTTTCAAGAGTGGGGAGTTCAAGAAACTAAACAACGAATATTTTTCGAGCTTTAAAAAGTTCTCTCACTTGTTTCACCGATCCTCCTTTGGTGGAATGAGTTGGGAACATGTGTTGAACGTTTTTGAGGATTGGGCCGAACTCGAGCATAGTGGCTTTCTAAAAAAGATTGCTATTCAACAATGAATACTGAAGTTTTACTGTAATCTTCAAACATTTTATTACCTTGTTGACTGGATCAGGACTAGCATACAAGAGATCTGTTCGTCCAACCGCATCCTCAAGTTTGCGAAGTCCCAACTTCGAGAGGAAATAGCGAACCTGTAAAAGAGTGTTAATAGCAATCTGGATTGGCGAAATCTCAAATCAGAATTTCAAACTATTTACCTCCTCAGCCACCATGAACATAAAATTGATGACATGCTCGGGTTTCCCGTCAAATTTCTCTCGAAGCACTGGGTCTTGTGTAGCGATTCCGACCGGGCAAGTATTCAAATGACATTTCCTCATCATTGTGCAACCAAGAACGATGAGTGGAGCCGTCGACATACCGAACTCATCAGCACCAAGCAACGTGGCAATCATCACATCTCGACCTAAAGATCGGGTTAAAATAAAGTCCTTGCTAGACATGTGCATTTTCGGTCCGTTCGTCGATAAATGTATAACAGAAATTCACGTCTTAAGCCCTTTAAAATCGACCATCTCAAACGTTTCTACTGTTGGTTAGCATTTTATAAGGGTTATCGAGCATTTGATACGCGCCCCGCCTTTTGCCATTAGCAATCTAACTTTGAGCTCAAATTTCTTGGCGTTGGGCTTTTCAATTTAAATCTTCTTGGTATCATGGGATGCGCCAAGTCTTTCTCTGTCGATTAGTATAAAAACTATTTAAATTGAACAGCCCAACACCAAGATATTTGAGCTCCAAGTTAGATTTTCAATGGTAAAAGGGGCGGGGCGCTTATCAAGTGTCTCGCAATCTTTTACAAGTTCTATCTAATTGTGAAAAAGTCGAAAGTCGATTTTAAACGCCAATGACGTGAAGTGAATTTCCGCTGTACACCTATCGACGAACGGACTGTAAATCCACATGTTTAGTCCTTACTACTGCGGGAGTTGAACTCAAGTAACGAATACTAGAGTCAAAAGCTGCAAATCTACAAACCATACCAGTTCTAATCTGTCCATCTGCTTGCACAATGACTCTTGATCGAAGGTTGTTCATTGTGAGCACTTGATGTGTCTCCGCGACACCCAATTCCCAGGGTAAACCGGCGTGCTTGATACCAGTCCAACTAAAATTTTTGGATAACTGAATAACTGCCCATTTTACCTGGAAGCTCCAGTTCCTCCATCGTGTCCTGAAATAGTGACATGATCAGCATTTCCTTTCACAACTCCGGCAGGCAACAATCCCCACTCCAGCTTCGCTGACCAGCTTCACTGAGACTCGCGCCACTGGATTTGCGCATTTCAAGTCGTAGATCAACTAAAAGATTATCTAAATTTGTATTTAGATTTGATTTACTTGAGCCAAATCTTCAATCGAGTAGATATCGTGGTGTGGTGGTGGAGAGATCAGACCGACTCCCGGGGTCGACTTTCTTGTGCTTGCAATATCCACAGTCACCTTGTGTCCAGGCAATTCTCCTCCTTCTCCAGGTTTGGCTCCTAAAAACTTGGAATAAGCATGTTTTTCTACTTTTAAATTGTAAATTTCACTCACCTTGAGCCATTTTGATTTGAATCTCATCGGCGTTCGCCAGATACGAAGAAGTGACTCCGAAACGAGCCGAGGCGACTTGTTTAATGGCTGAGCGAATGTTCTGCTCTTTGGATTGTCCTTTTGAATATCTAGACCAGTATTAGTAATATAATTTGAACTTAATTCAATACCTTTCCGGTTTCTCCCCTCCTTCTCCGGTGTTCGACTTGCCACCAATTCTGTTCATGGCGACAGCAAGTGTTGTATGTGCTTCCCAGGAGATCGAGCCGAATGACATCGCTCCAGTCACAAAACGTTTTACAATCTCTGAGGCTGGCTCAACCTGAGATTTGCATTATTAGTTTAGTTACGTATAAAGCCAACCTCTTCAATCGGGATCTGAATTTTCGATGAGGTCTTGATCTCGAGTTGGCCACGAAGCGAACACCATCTGATTTGATTCCAGATTTTTAATTTCATATAAAGTTTTTTACCTTTGAGCCAAGTTCGATGCTTGCGAGTACTCTTGGAAAGTTTTGCTGTCGTTAGATCGAGCGGCTGCCTAAAAGCTTTTCATACGGCGGTTAGCAAATAGCTCCACTTGTACTTATTTGCAACAATATAAATTATTACAATATATAAACAAATTACATTACAAATTACAATTATAATTACAAATTTGTAAAAATATAAGACTTTACGCACAATTTTTAAAAGAAATTTAAAAAAACCTGTAGCTTGGCCACAGCTTTCGGCTCATTGATATGTCTTTCACCGCCTTGTCTCCAATGATAGGTTCCCGTAGAGATCAGCGTCGCTGAGTCACCTAAAATTCGAGAATAAACCATTAATCAAATAAACAAAGTGATAAAAAGTAAGTAAACTTTGCACTTACCAATATTGTGACTTTGTGCCGATGGATAGGCCATATGATGTCTCTTCAATGCTTCCGCGGCCAATATCTCAAACGAAGCGCCACCCAATCGTGAGACCGTATTTTTAAAGCACATGTCAACCACTTCACTCGATAAACCGACAACTTCAAAGATTTGTGCGTGCTAAAATCCTTTGTCTTCTTGATCGATTTCTTTTTCCTCACTTTGTATGAATGAAGCGTTGAGATGCCCATTTTGGCCATTACTTTGAAAATTCCTCTCTCTACTCCTTGACGATAGCCATCGAAAATCTAAAATCTAGCTGTTTTACAAACTTTTCATTGATAACTTGAGAATTTAAAAGATTTCCACTCAAAGCTAGCACGCTATGGGAAAGCACAGGGCTTACAAAAACTGTTCTAGTACTTAAAGAATCAGAATATCAAATATTCGTTACCAAATCATCATTGAGCTCTTTTTCGATTAATCCAAAGTTTCGGAGTCGATAACAAGTCTCGAAGACCATATATGGGCAGATCGCATCAGCACCAAATCCAAGCAAAACACAGAAATCATGCACAACGCGCGCCTCGCCCGATTCAACCACCAAAGCAACCTAAATTTAATAAATACTCTGCAAAAGTCCGCGGTGGGACAAATGCGACCTTTTTTTGCGCACCTGGACATTTGCGCACCTTTTTTTCCGCTGGAAAAGGCCTTAGGAAAGGCCGTAGAGCTTCAAAAATATTTTCACATAAGGGAATCGTATGCGTAGATTTCGAATTTCGACAAATCAGACCTCGCTGACACGTCAAATTTGGGCTAAAAGGCAAAAACTACGCAACTTAACGCTTTTCCGCAGTTTTTAACGTGTCAGCGAGGTCTGATTTATCGAAATTCGGAATCTACGCATACGATTCCCTTATGTGAAATATTTTTGAAGCTCTACGGCCTTTCCTAAGGCCTTTTCCAGCGAAAAAAAAGGTGCGCAAATGTCCAGGTGCGCAAAAAAAGGTAGCATTTGTCCCACTCACGCAAAAGTCTTTTTTTATTTTGATCTTTTTATATAAAAAGTTTATTGGGTACAATCTGTGTCTGTTTTACTCAATAAAACTTTTTAAGTACTTTTTTTTCTTTTTGCTACTTATAATCGTTTATTTGCTTTCACAATTTCATTTGTATTCTTTTGTTTCTTTAGATTTACAAGACTCACAGAGAAATTAAAGAATCTAGTAATCTAAGCAATTAACAAATCTTTACCAGTATTGTTTTTAAGGAAAAACACTGTTTTTACCATTTCTCTCGTTCAAAACACAACACAAAATACATTTTTTTTGTCATCCAATGCTTTTGAACCTAATTTATTTGTTCATAACTCTTTTTCCTTTTTTTGTTTCTCTTTTTCTTATTTTTCTTTTGACTCACTTTCATTCGCAAGCGGTTTCTAATGAGCGTCTGATGAATGGCGCCGACTGCAAGAAGAGAAGGAATCGGCACATTACTTGGATCAGCCTGAATGAAAAGAAAAGAATTTGAGATATAGACACGTTCATTCACATAGACATGAGTAATTGATGAAAGATTGGGAATGGTTTAAAGCTAGCTATGCAAAGAAAAGTTTGGTCTTTAGCGAATTTCCTGTTTCCTTAAGATCAAGTTACAAGTTGGATCTAATAGCTAAAAGTTTTAATATTTTGTAGATTCTTTATCTTTATCTGTAGATTTAAGCTTAAGTTTATCTTAAAACAGTAAGAATTTGCATACATTTCGATCTGATAGCACAATGATTTGAAAACCGTCGAGCGCCGCCGTGCAAGCCTCACAACAGATTCGATCAAGTCCAGGAACGAGACCTAAAAAGTAATGATTCAAATAGTAGCTAATTGTAAGGGCTACGAAATCGTATTATGGCATAAATAACGACTTTATTGACTCACCTTTAACTCCATACTTGACTGGGTAAGTGATATCGATGGTCTTCGTTCGCCATCCCTTATACATTGTCCGTTTCATCACCTAGAAAATCGATTATCGGACATTTGATACGCGCCGCTCCTTTTCCCATTAGCAATCTAACTTTGAGCTCAAATTTATTAGTGTTGAGCTGTCTAATTTAAATAGTTTTTGTACCATTCGACAGAGAAAGACTTGGCACATCTAATGATACCAAGAACATTTAAATCATTAGATGCGCCAAGTCTTTCTCTGTCGAATGGTACAAAAACTATTTAAATTGGACAGCCCAACACCAAGAAATTTGAGCTCAACGTTCGATTGCCAATGGCAAAGGGGGTGGGGCGATTGTGAGACCTTTTATACGCGCCCCGCCCCTTTGCCATTAGCAATCTAACTTTGAGCTCAAATTTCTTGGCGTTGAGCTGTCCAGTTTAAATCTTCTTGGTATCATTGGATGCGCCAAGTCTTTCTCTGTCGATTGGTACAAAAATTATTTAAATTGAAAAGCCCAACACCAAGAGATTTGAGCTCAAAGTTGGATTGCCAATGGCAACGGGGCCAAATCTAGAACATAACCATCAGTTTGTTCAATTTGTTAAGCTCTTACCACAAGATCAACAAGTGATAGAATTGGTTGATCCAAAATAAGTCTTCCAGGCAGTTCTTCAGCCGCTTCAAGAATATTCCCTTCAGGGCCAACCGGGCAACGAAGTGACATCACAATTTGCTCACGGAATGGGTCGATTGGAGGATTTGTGACCTAGAATAGCAAATTTAGCTTTGAATATGATTTTTTGATTCATTTTTGACTTGGTTATGAATTCGGTTGTACTTAAAAGCGTCGATCTTTAGCTGGATCTTTTTGCGTGATGAGCAATACTTGAGGGAACCATTTTTTTTAAACAATTTTCATTTTGAAGCATTTTCTTTCAATCGAAACCTCATCTCATAGCCAACTTGAACTTTTTCACTAATTCAATCGTCACAAAATCTCATTTTTCTAATCACTAGACGCCCACAAATATGAAACTTTAACAAACTGATTGATTCGATTAACAAGATTCAATTAGTGATGTGCTTCTTATTTTATCTGAACTCAAAGTACTAATTCTGTACCTTTTCCCCAAGGGAACTTAGAAGTTTTTAAGATTTTCATAATCACCTATTTTACCTAGAATTTACCCCAAAACTGCACTTTAAATTTTCCCCAAAGATTGGTCAATTTTTTCTCTTCAACAATTCAATTATCTCCAACAAGAACAATGAACAGCTTCGTCAAAATAATTTCTCTTCTCTTTTTTCCCTGAATTTCGTAAATAAAGGACAGTTGAAGGAGCGTTATCCATTCCATTTCTCACAGAAAATTTATGCACCCGGCTTAAAGAAAGGCTAAGCGTTTAGGTGAACGAGTTGATTTGAGTTTCCTCGATTGAACTTCCTTGTTGTTAGGGAAAGAAGCTTTACACGTCAAGGGCTACTAGTACATATAAAGGGTCGAGAATAAGTGGACTACTTTTACCTGAAGCACTCAACAACTCAACTATTAATCATCAGCTTTTCAACTTATATAACCCGCTCAAACGTAATTCTTTATGATTTTAGTATGGTTATAGTTAAAAATTGGGCTTTTGATGTTGCTAGAATAGAAAACTCTAGTCAAAACGCAGATGCACCTTTATTTTCAATCGTTTTTTAGCGGATTGTTCTGAATTTTGTTTATAAATGATAATTCTAAAATTTTAAGAGATAGACTTTGTCAATTCTGACTTTATTTGCCAAAAAACGATCAAGAAATAAAGCTAGAATTAGATTCGATTTTGGAATTTCTTGTCTACTTTAGTCTTTTTGGTTTACCACTTTTTAAACTCATAAGAAATATCATAATAAACTGGTTTTACTAACATTTGTGTCACCATCGACGTAGTATCAATCCGATCCGTACTCTTCTCAAGAGTATTAATCTATTGTTGAATACTACGTGTTCTTGTTACGTTATAAGCGCTTTTGGGGAAACCCTTTTAACCTTTTGTGCTATTCGGCCATTCTTAAGCAGAATCATCCTCGTTGATAAGGTTAAAGCGGGTCGCACCCCAAACTAAGAACCCCGAACTAAGCCTTAGAATACTAAGGCTTAGTTCTCTAGTTGTTTTCATTTTTCATCTATACAAATTATCTCAAAGATCTCTCATAAACTGATGTCATAAGTAATGAATCACTTCACTGTACCTATCTGCACATTTTGCTATTATATTCGACATCTTGCACTCATTCATTTTTGGGTTAAGACGTCAAAGAAACACGAGTTTTTCCCTTTCCTCCTACTCCTACTCAAAAATTGGCCTCATTCCGTTCAGAAGGAACTTCTCCCCTTTCTTCAAGTCCATTTTCTTTTCTCTTCGAGTTACTTTTTGTCCGCATGTCTTTAATCATTAGTATGCTTTAGGAATTTGGCACGATTTCTATGAAAAACTTGTCTGCTTGAGTCCAGAAAGGGTTCTATTTGATACAAGAAAGTTAAACTAACCTTAGAATATAAGAATCTGAACTTTTGTTCATCTTTTTTACTTGAAATTCTACTACTTGAACTTGAACTAGACTTGATATTTGAATTTTGACTACCGTATTTCTTCGAATAGAAGACCGGGTAAAGAGTATCATCGCGTACTCCTGCGTAGCAGCCCTTTTTAAAATTTCTTTTCTGCATAAAAGCTATAGAGCTATAGAGCTGGAAAATGGCTCAAAAATCTGTTAGCTCATGTGGTATTTTTGAGTCATTTTCCAGCCCTATAGCACTTGATTGAAAACTTTTATGCAGAAAAGAAATTTTAAAAAGGGCTGCTACGCAGGAGTACGCGATGATACTCTTTACCCGATCTTCTATTCGAAGAAATACGGTAACTTAAACTCTCTTGAGCTCTATAGTAGCCAATTAAACAATGAAAAGAACGAACTTATCGCTAAAGTTAGCTAAAGTTAACTATTTTGCGGTGAGAATGGTAACTTAAGACAAATTTTTTGATTTAAATTAGATTTCTAATCTTTTATATGAGTTTTTATATGAAATTCTTAAGTTTTTGCAATTCAACCTATACAAATTCGAGCCGTTTTGCCAGAAAACAGCTCGAACAACTCAAACTTCTCCCCAATAATTGCTCTATAAAAACTCATTGAAAAGTAGCCAAACAAAATCAACTTTTTTGCTTTTTTGATTGATGTTTTCTTGGCAATTCTTTAGCCTTAACCCTTTCATTTGAACAAAGTTTGCGAGATGACAAATTCTTAAGGCAATTTTGAAGTTAACCAATGACGAGATCCTTCTATTCTCTCTCAAATTTTCTCTTTTCAACCCTTTATTTCAACCCTTTTTCTAGCTCCTCCTCGTGACTTTCACTCATTACCAACTAGATACAATTTGATTAGAAAGCGTTCAGAAAAGTTGAGTTAATTTGCAAAATTGAGCTTCTAGAGTTTCTTACGAATTGAAATGAGTTGAAAACGAATTGAAAACGGTAAAGTTTGAAAATTTGACTAATTCGTACTGTTCCATAGTAGTTTTTGAGCAAATTTTGACAAAATTTTGACAAAATTATGGCAGAAAACGCTAATTTGAAAGCAATTTCTTTTATCGCTAATGTTAAAACTTATCGGTTCATTGCTAGAGCGTTGCCCTGTAGATTAGAGAAGTCGCCGATTCGAATTCCGATCAGATTTATAGTTTCAGCAAAACTCATTAAAGGAATTAAGGGGTTAATTATGTTAACTAAGTATCCCCTTTTACAGCAATAGAATTCCTTTTTCCCCTTTTCTAAACAAACTGTGCTTTGCAACTCTCATAATCTTTAGTCAGGCAAATTTTCTCCAATCAACCAGCATAAAAATGATTCAACTTTTTGATATCATTATCTAGATTTTGTCGCTTAATAAAAACTAATTACTAAATATGGTTTTAAACGTAGAAAATCGAGGCTTTCAACTCAAATTTCTAACTCCTAATTACTCATACTTTATCTCCAATTTCTATTCGGTAAAACGAATAAGGGTTAAGGCAGCAAAGGCAGTCAAATCAGCCAGCAAAGCCAATCAAATCAGCCATCAAATCTCTCACAAAACTCTTAATCATTCACCCAAGTCTCTATCTCCAATTTCTATTCGGTAAAACGGATAATGGTTAAGCCAGCAAAGGCAGTCAAATCCGTCAGCAAAGCCAATCAAATCAGCCATCAAATCTCTCACAAAACTCTTAATCATTCACCCAAGTCATCTTACAAAGCCAGAAACTGAACCTTTCACTTAACAATAGCAAATGTGCCAAGATAATGCTGAAAAAAGTTCAATAGGAAGACATAAAATCGTGGCGGAATTAGGTTTTGGTGTGAGCGTTGCCCTGTAAGAGAAGTCGCTGATTCGAATTCCGATCATATTTATAGTTTCAGCACAACTCATTAAAGAAATTAACGGGTTAATTATGTTAACTAACCCTTTTACAGCAATAGAATTCCTTTTTCCTCTTTTCTAAACAAACTGTGCTTTGCAACTCTCATAGTCTTTAGTCAATCTGAACTACAATTTACAATTCGCCAATTTTCCAGATTGTATTATTGCTTTAAAAAAGTTTAAAGTTAAAACTTCTTTACTACAATAAGCTATTCAATTAAAGGTTGCATAACAATTCATAAAATGACTCATATTTATTTGCTTTTTAGCTAAATTTCAACCTTTTTCTCTTTAAAGTGGGGAGTGGGACAAATGCGACCTTTTTTTTTGCGCACCCGGACATTTGCGCACCTTTTTTTCCGCACCTTGCCCATTAGCGCACCGTTTTTCGCGTTTTAAAAAAGCTCTAAAAAGCTAATATTAACCAATTTCTATTCCAAAAGTTGTTTTTCTAGGTAATTTTAGGGCGTAGAATCGAAATTTTGACATATCAGAGCTTGTGGAAACAAACGGACGGAGTTATACAAAGAGAAAAATCGACAATTTTCTGTAATTTGATTTTCTGTAATGTTTTGTCTTTCAAATTGGTTCCACACGCTCTGTTATGTCAAAATTTGAATTCAACACCCTCAAATTACCTAGAAAAACAACTTTTGGAATAGAAATTAGTTAATATTAGCTTTTAGAGCTTTTTTTAAAACGCGAAAAAAGTGCGCTAATGGGCTAAGTGCGGAAAAAAAGGTGCGCAAATGTCCGGGTGCACAAAAAAAAGGTCGCATTTGTCCCACTCCCTAAAATGACTCATATTTATTTGCTTTTTAGCTAAATTTCAACCTTTTTCTCTTTAAAGTGCACTCAAAGCTATCAGCTTTCACTTATTTACTATAAATTACTATGAAATACCACTAGACAATGAGAATTTCAAATTTTTCTAGCACCTTGACGATATTTTGGCAATTCTTATTCTTAACCAAATTCTTAACCAATCAGTTCCTTGTACAAGGAAATAAAATCATTTCCTTTCTAGATTTCATTCAAAATCTTCTTTCTCTAAGAAAATCTCTTGGAAATTGAAATTTTTGAAAATGAAAACCTGTGCAAATAGCTGTTGAAAGTAGGAGAAAAGAAGAGGATTGTAATCGGAGAGACAAGCCAATGCAGCATCGTTACCCATTGAGCCCAGAGCTTCCTTTCTGAAAATTAAGAATTGATGATCAGTTGTCGGAATTGAAAGCTTAATCTTTATCTTTTAAATCTTGAGTTGAGTCTACCTTACACTTTGTTGTAAAGCTGTTGCACTGCTTTACTCTTTCACGTGTTTTTAAGTGTACTTTGTGCTAAAAGTGTTTAGATATCTTTTCTAGTACAACCAGAGCTCGTTCAAGGACGTTCAAGGACCTAATTTCTAGGCTAGGTCAGGCTAGGAGCTGGCTAAGTCAGACTAGGAGCTGGCTAGGCCAGGCTAGGAGCTGGCTAGGTCAGGCTAGGAGCTGGCTAGGTCAGGCTAGGAGCTGGCTAGGTCAGGCTAGAATCTGGCTAGGCCAGGCTAGATCTGGCTAGGCCAGGCTAGAATCTGGCTTGGCCTAGGCTAGATCTGGCTAGGCCAAGCTAGAATCTGGCTAAGCTTGCCTTATTACATTACTATGCCAGTAAAGACTGCGTTTCTATCGTTTCCTTTAAACAAAAAGTACATTGATGATGAACAAGTGCATCATTCCTCTAGATAGTGTTTCTAACGTTTCCAGTACACTGCCAATAAAAAAGCAGCTCTTCTACAACAATTTCTGAATAGCTAAATATTTTTGAACAAGGATTAAGTCAAAGTCTAGACTCTATCAAGCACTAAACTATTTTTAACCCTAGCTTTTTCTATTTTTCGACTAATCCCACGAAAATTTCCCCCCAAATTTAGCTCATCTTCTATAGTATTTTTTCGAAATTTGACATCTTTCAATAAATCTTCTCAAAAACTTTCATTCATTGGTCATTTTGCGAAAATTGTCAGCTCAAATTTCATCGTTTTCCCCTCCCATCCCCCGCATCTTTTTAGTCATACCAAAACATTCTCACACAAAGATTTCTTCCCTTCAAAATCCATACACTTTTATAAATAAACAGATAAATTCTATAAATTCTATAAATTCTAAGAAAGCAGCTCTTCTACAACAATTTCTGAATAGCTAAATAGTTTTGAACAAGGATTAAGTCAAA